CATTACAAGCTGCTACACTTCTCATTAGAAATCCCACTTCAATTAACCCCCAAACTCTAGAATTAAGAGCAAGTCAAAATCTCGTTTGTCCCATATTTCGCTTTCAACTTCTCAGACTACAGAAGACCAATCCCGCTCAAATTAGTTTTGTGAAAGTTAAGAGGATTAGGATATGGAATATAATTGTTCTTGCCGCCTTCCCTCGCGATCCACGTAGTAGCACAGACCCAGCATATTACCGTAGTCCAATATTTTCGCAATGTTTTCCATTTGCTTAGCTAAGAAAAAAAGTCTATCTTTTTCCCTAGAAGAAACAATTTTCCAGGAAATTACTGCTATATGGAGAAGAAGGTTTAGCAGTAGCAACCATATGAAAAAGACAGAGATTTGAATGCTTTAAAGGTAAGTTAATGGAGTGTGGCACAACCCCTAAATGAAAACCCCTAAATATTAGGTTGTAACGTAAGTCTTGCGACACTGTAACTTCTTGCGGCGATAAGTCATGCAGTTCACATTTCCAATAGAGATCCAGATACCATTCGATAGAGCAAAGCAAGCTCTACAAAATGGTTTGCAAAAGTTCGCTTCAACTTTGACCTACTTTAAGTTTGCATCCAAAATGTGATTTGCATTGAAGCCTCAGAAAATCGGGAAAAATTCATATCTTCGTTCGAAAAAGTCTTACGAACCTCCAACTTGCTGAAAAAATTGTACACTACATCAGACACTCATATGTATCGTTCCTGAATTTCTTCCTCATTCAGAGATTGAGAAAACGAAAAATCCCAAGTTATTACAAAAACGAAGCTAAGCTGTTTCCATTCATGTAAACATATAATACAATCCCTTAGAAGTATAACCGTAAATTCTTAGCTTTCAATAAGATCTAGTTTTCGAAAATTACCAAATTTAGCTCTCCTCACTCAGGTTTTCCATGCTAAAATCAAAATTTCTCGAAGACTAGAGTTTGTAGAAAGCTGAAAATTACGGTTATACTTCAAAGGGATTGTATTATATGTTTACATGAACGGAAACAGCTTAGATTCGTTTTTGTGAAAACTTGAAAATTTTCGTTTTCTCAATTTCTAAATGAGGGAAAAATCCAGGAACGGTACATATGAGTGTTTGATGTAGTGTACAATTTTTGTGAGCAAGTTGGAGATCGATCCATAGGATTTTTTTGAACGAAGATATGAATTTTTCGCGATTCTTTGAGCCTTCAGTGCGATTCACATTTTGGATGCAAACTTAAAGAAGGTCGAAGTTGGGGCTAACTTTTGCAAACCATCTTGTAGAGCTTGCTCTGCTCTATCGAATGGTCTTTGGATCTCTATTGGAAATGTGAACTGCATGACTTATCGCCGTAAGAAGTTAGAATGTCTCAAGACTTACGTTACAACCTAATAATAATAGACACATCCCATTAACTTGCCTCTAAAAAAATTTTAGCAAACAAAATACATATAGTTTGATAGCCTGAGTCTTGTAGTTTTCATAAAAGTAATTTAGGCCTGATTTATCTTCATCGCTTTAAGTGAAAGCTGGTGAGGGCAGCCATTGGAAGCGAAAATGGAACAAACGAGATTTTGGCCTGCTTCTAATTCCATAGTTCGATGATTATTTGAAAGAGGATTCATGGTAAGGGAAAATAGGGACTAGTGCCTTGTATTGAGTACAAAAAGAGTCAGCTAATTCACTTTTGAAATATAGTTAATCATCTTCGAAAATGTTCGCTTCACTTGGGTGGTCCAATATTGATCCTCAGAATTTGCTAAAACTTGGCCCATGGTGGTTATTTGACGTGATAACTACGAATATATGCCTAATTATGCATGATAGTGCCTTTATGTCATGTCTACGGAAGAGAAGATGGAGGGGGAATCGTATCCAGCGCTTGTGTGCCACACCTCTTATCGACCCTGATAGTGAGCTTTGACATAGTATTAGGTTGTGTAATAAGTTCTGTCCCATTTTTTCTTTTGATTTTTTCTCAATATTTTGCGCAATGCTCTGCAAATTGTTTATAAGCATTTGAAAGCTCTAAGCCTTCTCTACTAAAACTTTCATCTCGGTTCTCTACATCAGAGGAATTGAAGAAGTTTTACAGCGTCAAATTGGAAAGTCAAACAGGGAAAAAGTCCATTTTCGACGACTACATTACGTCGCCCTCCTAATTATTCAGAATGCCTAGGAATAAGCTCGAAGAATTTGCTACACGTAAGCAAAGAATGCTCTAGTTTCTATTGCGCTTCAGAAGTGCTGAGACTTTTCAAAAATCATTTCTGTAGATTTCGAAAAAGTCTTCTTTCTAACTCCTTTTCAACGCTGGTGTTGGGCATCATCTGAAGGATTCTGGGGGAAGACGGTAACGGATCATGCAGAAAAGAAAGAAGGGATGGTTTGTGGCTTCAAAATTATCAAATTCGTAGGATAAATGCTCAAAATTCGAATTTTGAGGACCACACAACTTGGGTGCGCGAAACGGCGAACATCGCCGTGACAAAGTCTTGTCTTGCCGACTTTTTAAAAAAATGTCATTAGATAGCCGGTGGAAGGAAGGGAACATGCGCAAACAGTGATAGAATAAGTGTAAAAGTTTGATAGATTGTTTTGGTTGTTGTCAAGCTTGCTTAATAAGTATTACCAATGACGAGAAGGATTTGGAGGAAAAAAGATGTCGAAAATTAATTTTTCGGCTTTTTGGATTTCTTGTTTCAATGATGAAAAATCTTTTTCATTTTCCTACTATTAGGTCGTTCCGAAAGTAATGTCGCTTTTTTCAAAACTACGCCACATTTCGTGGAACAAAGATGTGTAAGAGATTCTGGTAGCATTTGATGCAGCATTTCATTCTCTTTCTAACGGTTATATAACTACCGCACAAAATTGAATCACCTTTGGGGAAGTTATCGGAATCTGCGACCCATGCTTTTTAAGAAGGTTAAGTTTCACCATTTTTCCAAATTTTTACAACAACCCCCGGAATGAGTCCAGGTTATGTATGGATAGAGCAAACCCTACGGGAAACAGCACAACTTTTTTCTACTTTTCAGAGCTCGTCATAATTTCTGTATAGATTTTTTGATGGAACCACCGAATTTTAGCAGGCTCGTTTCAGACACAAATGCATTAAACACCAAGAAATCGTCGGATTTTGAAGCTTACAAAAATGGATTATGGTTTTACACTAATTTTACAAAGCAAATGAGCGTTTACCGCTTCAGATTAGCAACTTTCGAAAATTCCGGGTACAGCCGGAGGCGCCCTGGCAAACCTGAATTATGATGATTTGTTCTCAGAAAACTTGATGGAATCGGAAACCAAAAACAACTGGTAAAAAGAGGAGAAAAAGCTGCGTCGAATGACACCCAAGTTGCTTGCCGGTTGTTGTTCTGTGAGGTTTGAGTTGACCAAATATGGAATTTGATGGCATTTCAAAACTGATTCCAGAAACTCTAAGAGGCAAGCTAAGGAGAAGAAAAAATTGCTCTGTGTCCTATAGGGCTTGCTCTATTTACCTGCCGCTTGTGCTTCTTCGGAGAACAGGTACAAAAATTTAGAAAAATTGCCGAACTTGACCATGGCAAAAAGCATGAATCGCAGATTTTGGTAATTTTTCGAGAGCTCATTGAATAATACGCAATGCAATCACAACCGTTAGAAAGAGAATGAAATGCTGCATCGAATGCCCCTAAGATCTCTTGAAAATATTGATTCCTTGAAATGTGGCGTTTATTTGAAAAAAGCGACATTACTTTCGGAACGACCTAATATATTGAGGAATGATGCATATGAGCCTGCAGAGCAGACTTAGAGCCTCTCAAAAGCATATACACTTTATCTCAAATATAGTCAATGTTGTCAAGAAAAAACTAAAACAAAAATTGGGACAGAACTTATTACACGACCTAATATTTTGACAGGGCCGAGCGGAGCCGGGTATGCTAGCTAGTTATAGTAAAAACCCAACATTGTTGTCTTCAACCACGGTTGCTCCAATCTGTGCATGAGCGTACTTTATTTACTTCTAATTTTTAGCGCCTATCCAAATATCTAATTTAGTAAGTCAAAAAGTGGGCAACGATGCAAGACTGCTTCAGCCTTTTTCTCATAAATCAGTAGTACTCAATGAAGCATGACTAGTCAATGCACAATCATTCTGCACCTAGCTTAAACCGAACAACTCTTTGGGTCAAAATGTAGAGAAAATGACTATCGAAAATCAAGCCCATCAGTTCCTGTCGCGGATTGGGCACCCAGCTCCCCACGCCAGTGAATACGGCTCACCTGCATCGGCGTATGGGAGCCGGGGACCCCCTCCGTGAAAGGCTTCACGTCACTTGGGGCGGTAGCTAGCCTGCACTAAATGCTATTATGCCTGCCACACGGCATAACGCCTGACTCTTAGGGGCCCTGAGCTACCGGCTCACCTAGTACTAAATGCAGTCTGGGGCGTTAACTCCATTCCCACTACTGACACTTGGGGCATGCTATCACCACATGGCACTAGCCGGCATAGTGCCAGTCTTCTCACGGATCTAACCTTCTGGGCCGGTAGTAATCCCCCCGACCTGGCGGCAGGTCAAGTTGACAGCTCGCTGGCACCTTTTCCGTGAGGTGGCCAGAAAGAGAGACCCCAAATGTAGGCCGTCCTAGGCCTTTTTCCAAAAAATTTTCTCGATAAAGATGCCGCCTCGACTCTGTAGAAAACTTCATAAAAGTCTGCGGCTCCAGAACTCCTCCTTGAGTAAAATATCTGGAATCGCAAGAGGAGCTGCCGGCAACTTCGCGAGGTCAGTTGCCGGCAACCTGCCGGCAGCTCACCGAAATCCGCGAGATGGCAGCTGCCGGCAGGTCAGAGAGCACGGGAAATAGAGTGCTCTTTTGAGAGAGGGAGCTTCCGGCATCTCGACGTGCCCCTACCACGTCGAGGTGGTGGCACCTTTCCCGACGGCGTCTGTGAAAGTGCGTTGTGCAGCCTTGCGGGCGACGCGGCTAGAATGCCGCCTTCAATCACTTCGCGGAATATTGGGATTTTCATGAAAAGCTCTCGTTTCCTCTTCATTTCTGCTGCTCACGTCGTGTTTGATGCTTGCAGTTCGTTTCAAATGGTTAATTTCAGGAGGCCTGAGAAGCTTGGGCCTCCCAGGGCCACCCCCCCCCCTCACCCCTTTTGAGATGGCGATAGAGACGTGATCCGCTCACCAGTTGCAACATCACAAAAGAAGCGTTGTCAAAGGTAATTTGACGTTTTTTCTTTGATTCTACGACTAGATGACTGATTTAGGCAGCTGAAGCTGTGCATTTATTGCGCCCATACACATTTGACATTAGGTGCAATCCCGATTGTTTCTCTAATACTGTGAAACATGCTTCTGGAGAGGATCTGGAAAAGCTTTCAAGAAAAGATTTCAGGATTTCTCCTCGTAAGGTTGCGACTAAGGGACTATTTCTACATTTTTTTTTTGTTTGAGTTTCTCTGCTTGATTTGGAAATTTCTTTTGAAGATGTTTTTGATGGCATTTTTGCATATTTAGGTTAATTTGATGACTTCCGTCTATGGAGTTATGCCAGTGAGCTCGCTCAAGCTCTTCGACTCCTTGCTCGCCCCTTTCCTATATATTTGGCGATTCAGCCGACTCTGCCCTCACGAGCATCGTCCAGCGCTTATGAGTGAGCGTTGCACAGGATTGACCATGCATAAACAACCATTGAATATGTGGGTATTATAATTATCGCAATGGTGCAAGCATCAGGAGCAGCACTGCTTGTTCAAATTAACCTTGCCCACTTTGCTTTCTCAAACCTACATTCCTGCAGCAATTAGACTTTTCTATCGTGCTCGATACTTGTTGCTATTTGCACATGGAGAAAATCATCCGTTGATGGCTCAAAGTGATGTAAGTCCGCTTTTTTTTTCTATTACGACTTATGTTTGCAACATATCTTCGATTTAAAGGAACACCGGAGTCATTCTCTTTGCGCAATCCTCCTACCAAGATGTCGCATGGGACGACATCTCATCGAGAGCATAATGTTGTGAAGGACAGCACAAGCCATTAAGATTTTTGCCGCCTTCTCTGGATGCAAGCGCATTTTCGTTTGCAATATCCTGAAGCAGCCCTTCCACTTCCCGAACACACACTCGACTACAACCCTCATCTTTTTGTGGGTGCTGTTAAATCGGCGTTGTGCCCGGTCTTGAGGGTTCCTGTACGGGGTGAGGATCTCATTACTATTTGAGAAGCCTGAATCCCCGATCAGGCAATAACCCTCCGGAACAGCTCCTTCTGCGAATGCATCATGTAGACGGCTATATCTGTACACGGTAGCATCATGAACAGAACCTGGATAGTTACTGTTTATGTAGATGAATCTACCGCGGGCGTCGACAACGGCTAGGACGTTGATGGCGCAGAATCCTTTACGGCAATAGTATTCCCACCCTGAGTTGGCCGGCCTCAGGATGGGTACAAGTGTGCCGTCGATGGCTCCCACGATGTTCGGCAGCCTTCCCAATCGTGCGAAGCCATCGGCGTTTCTCCGGCAATAGCGCTCGTCGTTGAGATGGCACGGAATGAACTTCTGCACTATTGCCGGGTTGTTCAGTGCCTTCACCACATCCTCCACGGCGTTCGACACCGTCTTTTGGCAGACACCAATCGTGTCTGCCAGGACGGCTTGATGGGCATTCGTGGCGAAGTAGCGTAGGGCGATGATCACCTGCAAACAGTTGATCAGCTAGTTTTTTTAAGAACGTTAACTTTCCAACACCACTAATTCTTCTAGACCGCTTTGCACCCTCCCCATCATTGCTTTTATGATTTGGCCCTGCACCATGTTCTCTATATTGTGAACGCAAAATCATGACCCTAAACGGGATTCTAACCCTCGATGTCTGGCTTGAACTGCCGAACTGCTTACCCACTAGGCCATTTCCGACTCTGAGAATGAATATGTGGAAAACGCAATCGAAAGACTGAAGTGCAACACGGACTGCGCACATGCATTGCATATCTCTTTATGCTGCTTCAATAACAGTACTTATCGATGCGCAAACAACTAACCTTGTTCTCAACGTCCACGCTCCAATTGTCGATGCTCTCCTGGGCCATTAAAGGCTTGAGCAGGTCGCACAGTCGTCGCAAATGAACTTCTCTCATCCGGAACTTCCTCAGAATCAGCCCTTGATTCGAGGTGAAGAGGCGAAGAGGATGGAGTCGTCCGTAGCGGATGTTTCGGTGCCTCCTGCTCGGTGCGGCATACATAAGAATAGGAAGCATGTCTGAATAATAAACTTGTTATGACTCTGAGGCCATGTTAATGCAGTTTGCGACAGTGTTTTTAAGAAACGATTCTGAAGAAGAGAAGAATTTATACAAGAATCTAATGAAACAAGCAATGAAGACAAGAGAAAAAGAGCGAGGCCGTCTTGGACAGGATACTTCGAAGTCCAAAGTATACCACTAGTGGCATCGATCATGTTCAAGCACAGGATTCGGAAATTCAAACATATCCCAGCGTTGTTTTCTATGTGCAAAGCATGTGCGTGTAGTCGACAGTGCGCCGGAGTTCCAAGTTGATGCATACAAGTTCGAACGCGCGTGGTGCGGATGTTTTGCGGCGGCCCGGCAAATCCAAGCACTATCGTTCGCTTCGCCACCACACACAGTGTGCGTGTGGTCGATCGGTTAGTGCGCCGGCGTTCGAGGTCAATGCATGCAAGTTCGAGGGCGCGCGATTCCTATGTTTTGCGGCGCTCTGCTTGTTGGCAGTTTAGGAGCTGCCGGCGGAGTTGGCATCTTTCCGCGATGTGTGCCAACTTGCCGGCATCTATGATGCCACCAGGTAGGGTAGATTACTACCGGCCCTGCTGGACTGTAGATGATGACGACAAAACATACAACACGATATTACTCGGGGCTGCAACCGAGTTGCAGTCCACCGCATCGATCAATAACCACAAGTTATCAACTACCCACCATTTATCCTTAAAGGCGGTACATCGGCAAAATGAGACCCGTGACAAAACAAGGCCACAGGGTAGGAGCCCCCATAATGGAACCTATAGGCCAGAGTTCGATCTTCCTCTGCCACTTCTAACCCTCGAAATTTCAAAGCGAAAGCAGCGCTCATCTCCTGTCCTCTCCGAACCCGCCCACCCATGGACGAGTGAACGCGAAGCCCATCATGGCGAAGACGCAGAAAGTCGTTGCGGGACCTCATGCTTATAGCATTGCGGCTGGCGCTCTGACCGCGGAAGTCACTCGTCCATGGGGTGGGCGGGTTCGGAGAGGACAGGAGATGAGCGCTGCTTTCGCTTTGAAATTTTGGGGGTTAGAAGTGGCAGAGAAAGATCGAACTCTGGCCTATAGGTTCCATTATGGGGGCTCCTACCCTGTGACCTTGTTTTGTCACGGGTCTCATTCTGCCGATGTACTGCCTTTAATACAGACCCCACACTCAAACACAAGGGAATCAAAACAACCAGCCAGCTGTTAGAAACCTAGGGGCCAGCAATATCGGAATCCCCCCCCCTCGTGGCGGTGTCGCCGGCGTGTGCCAGGGGTGAGCGCGCACGGGTTTACCCCGACTGCGGGGTTGCCTGTCTTCCATGGCGTGGATGTAGATGACGCATGAGTTGGGGAAGGCGCTGTATCGATCGATGGCTTGAGGTTGGAACCCGACCGCTCACGATGGCGACAGCAGTGAAGACTGACTACGTGACTAATTTGAAAGCTGCGCAGGTGGAGAGGTGAGAGGCGGGACAGCGCGAGGACGGCGTTTTGGAACTTCGCAACGCGACGGCGGCCTCCTCTCAAGGAAGTCGCGAATCCGCGACAGTTTCTACTGCTCTTCATGGTGAGAAAACTTCAAATCAATCAATTTGTCGGAGAACTCCGCTAAGGGCAGTGCGAATCTTTGCGAAAGGTGAGGCAGAGGTGGATTCGAAACCGTAGTATTGGCTTGTAACTGTCTTGCATCAAACACATTAATACTACATTGAACCATATTTATCTTGAACTTTACATGGGTTAGTGACATTCGATACGAGGCAGCCTCTACAAGATGGCTATCAAATTTCACTCCACCTTTGATTCACGCGAAGTTTGAAACCAGAAAAAGCTAGAAAGATGCAACTGTCCGAAAAAATCAAAAAAAGATCGAAGTTTATTCAAAAAAAAAAAATCCTGCAAACCTGCATTTGCATAAGAAATATGCTCTTCGAACCACATGTTTGAATGTATAGTTACCGTATCTTTTACCTTTGCGGAACTAAAGAAAACGACAAGTTTTATGCTTTTGTTAAAGCATGTGATCTGTTCCACCTAATGATTGCATTCTGGTCATTTTTCAGCGACTCCAAACAAAATTTGATGTACAATTTCTCCTTCTTCCTAGAAGTAGTGTTTTTGTTCCGAGATTATTGATAGTTGCTCGAATGATCGTCACAGGCTACAACTCATAATTTTACCCACCTCTAATTTAGCTATTTTCAAAATTTTTATCTCTAAGCGTTGGGAAAAATTACAAATTTATCATTTTTGCGAAGTCGTAAAGTACGCAAACGCTTCAAATTCCCACAAATCTTAGGAAGAAGGTCAATCATAATATCGTTAATTTAGCAAAGCAATTGAGTGTTTGCCGCTTCGGACTACTGAATTTAGAATTTTGCGGGCACAACTTGGGTTGTGTTTAGAAAGTAGATTTAGAAATTTTATCCTTGAAACTCTAACGAATCAGTAAGAAAAAACTCAAGATTGTTTCGAAAGTTCTTCCCTTTTTTCCACCTATCATAGAAACTCACGAAATAAAAAACAGGCAAACGTTTTGAAACTATTCGACACAGGTTTTCTTCTTTCTCTTTTTAGCAGTCATGCTCCTGCGCTGATTACACTCGTAGTTACTGAAAGAATTGCCAAAATCTCAAACACATGTTTTCTACCATGTCCAATTCTGCCAATTCTTCAGAATCTTCAATTTGAAGTTTTGTAAAGGCTTTGATGGCAGACAGATAGCGTAAGCAAAGTGCAATAACAACACATTTTTTGGCATCTCCCACTGGTTTCTCACAATCAGTATTTTCTGCGACAACTGTTTTAAAGCCATCACTTTTGCGAAGTCGCAAAAACACAAGCACTTCAAACACCAACGAATCTTCGGAATTCAAAATTTCAAAAAATTGATTATGATTATACGCTAACTTTAGAAAGCCCTTGAGCGCTTGTCGTTTCGAAATGTCAAGTTTTTCATTTTGTGAGTATAGCCTGGGGCGGGTTGAATTCCAAGAATTATGACAATTTTATCAAAATTTTCTTGAATTCCGAAGAGAAAACACCCACTAGAAAGAAAAGAAGCTCCATCGAGTGGCACCTTAGTTGTGCGCAGTTTGATCTATGTGTTTTGAGATGACCAAAAGTGGAATTCAATGGCATCAGAAAACTAGTTTCAAAAATTTTGGAAAGCCAGGTATAGGTGCCAAAAATACAGCATTGCATGGCACTTTGTGTCGCCATCCGACTGCTATCACGGCTCTTTTGATAAACGTAGCTAAATGTTATTTTAAGAGATAATGCTAACCTTTCAAGAATATTTTTGCGAGGCAGCGATTTGAAAAAGAGTACTTTGGCTTGCGCGGGATCCTAAATATCAGACAATGTCTTCCAATTGATTTTCAAAACCATTTTCAAAAATCAGCCATGGTTATCTTTTACGTGTCATAGTGAATTGTTTTTCCTAGAAGTTTTGAATGTCTGTTACCAATGTCGAACATGAGATTACTGGTCGTACGTAAGTAGGAGAACGAAGCCGCCAGTTTAAACCGCCTTTTGCGGTTAACTGGTCCTTTTGCAGTGTCGTTGCATGTCCACCCGTCGTATGCAGGTATTTTCGCAAATCAGGTTATGTATCGAACGTTCGTTCTATAATAACTCTTTTGTGCAAAAGCCTTCCGCCTCCCTTTGAACCATGCTGTAAAGCTAGTCAACCTGCAATTTACAGCTTGGAGCGCACTTGCAGTTTTTTCTCACTGTAGGGTTACGGTGGAAACATTTAGCTTACAGCATCATTGTAGCCCTGTTTAGAAGAAACTTTTCAAAGAAAAAACCCAAAGAATGTTTATCAGGGCTTCCAGCGCGCTAATTCCATAAGGCCCCGGACAGACTGCGATTTGATCGTCGCGACTCAATCGCCGGCATTTCCATTCATTTTCATTTCACATTCAGAAATTTCGGGCTGGAAAAGTATCACAACAGAAATGCAAGTTGATCGGCATGGAATGATGTTGTAACAGTGTCTCCTCGCGATTTGGTCGCGACGATCAAATCGCGTGAAGTCTGTCCGGGGCCTAACCCAACTCTTACGAGTTTCTGAAGCTTTTAGATTGATGTAATCAGAAGATCCAGAGGATCGTAAAACAGCCTTGCGATTCACTTGGCATCTTATGAACGAAGCACGGATAATTGCAATGTTTTCATTCTCTTTGTCTTGTCAGAATAAGCCCCTCAAACTCGAATTAAAATTTTGTATTATTTCAGTAATGCAGCGCCCGGTGGCTCGTTCCATTTGGTGAACCGAAGTTCAATCCAGCCCTACAAAATTATTCAATAAAGGAGGAATCTTTTCTTACGAGAAATAAGATCAAACATTCGATATATTATTTTGGGATATCCTTTACATTCTTACAGTTCGTAAAGAAACGAATTCTGGCAGACGCAATCGGGACTATGTGATAGTACAAAGTGTAAGTTTGAGTTCGTTCAGCTGCAGAGCAGAAAGTTGAAAAGAATTCATTTTTGCCGTTTTAAAAAAGTATTAATCTGATGTATTTGATTCTCCATTTTTGAATGGAGGTCTTTTTCAATCCAGAAAATGTATGCAGAGTTTGTTTACAGCACCCCAGGATATATAATACACGAGCCCATGTTTCGCAATGGTTTTTTCGTGGCAATGGTGGAAATGTTGGTGCCATTCATTTTGGCGCATCCTGTATACATCAGAAGATGTGAGGCACGGAGATGAGTTAGATAGTTTCCTTGCGTTCAGAGTTCGTCACCTCCAGATATGGCTTATACCACCTGACTCAGGTGACCATCGCGTTTTTCTTGCACAAATCAAAGCGGTATTGTACTATACAATATACTTCAGAGTCCTTGGGAGTGACTCATTGTTACAAAAACTTGAACTCGTTTGTAAAGTTGTTGAGTTAATGTGAGAACATTTGGCAATCCGTCCTTCCTTGCGTCATTTGATCATGTCAAACTACTTTATTATTCTTCATCCAGTAAATGGACAAATAAGATTGCGAAGTTATGAAGTAAGATACACGTGTTGTTTAGGCCAAACGCCACATCTTGTTACGGATTCTATGCGTGTACTTAATTCGGTTGCTTTTCTCCTTTCGTTGACATTCCTTCTCAATGTTGGACGGCATGAACTTGAGGCTTCGGTGTTCAAACGTCTGTAATAATCGGATTGAATGAGTTTAATCTCAAAGAATGAGCACCTCAAGTGGGCAGAACTCTTTATCCACAGGGCATCCTTTAGTTAAATGGGTAATGGAATGATAACCGTGATGAAAAGCACTGTGGAACAAAATCTGAAAAATAGAGAATAGCACAAATCTTCGCGAGCTCGAGCCATGGGCGCAAAGCTGAGTTCTTACCCTAACAGCAGGACCCTCTTCAAGTTCCCACAGCTCCATAGCCACAGAAGCGGTGTACTTCGGCAAGCCTCCACGAATTACATCCATTTCATCACCGAAGGTTGTCAGGAGAGCTGCCACCGTAGTGTCATGCTGAAAGCTGCCAATATGCTCTATGGATTGATGCTCAGAGAAACAAACTGTTCAGCCACGACTGAACCTCTACGATCATAGCATACTTACAGCTGAATATGCATAGTATTTGATGTTCTTGATCCACGCACAATTATCTTTAGCAGCGTCAGCTTTGTTGCATTTGAGTTTGTGATTCATCAAATCCACGATTGTTCGGAGTAAAGGTCCTTCAAAATAGGGCATGCATGATAGTGCAGCTTTATATGGATCTTTATGCATGAAACATGCAAATTATCAATCAGGTGTTACTTTATTAATTACTACTTCATTTAGTTCTCACAAGTCGCTCTCCACATCCTTGTGTTTATCTTTTAAAAGTTTTTCAAAAAACCGTTTATGAAGTACGGGAAGGAAAATAACGTCGACTTGACTACTTTCTACTAAAATGTAAATATTTATGTTTAGATACGAGCACAAACTTGCCTATTTTCTACATCAATAGAAAACTTTGCTAATACACTATCCTCCTCTACCTATTTACAGCGTGAAGAGCAACAATGAGTAAATATCCCTATATTTATAATAAAATTTCCGATTATTGCTCAGAAAAGAATGCCTAGGGCTGTCGGCTGATTTACAAAGATATGCATTTCTGCTAATCTGTTTTTTATCTGGAAAACTCGGAAATGGCTGACCTCCTCGCAATCGAATAAGTTCTGGTAGGTATGGTTGAGCAATACCGTAGTTGTACTCATTGGCGGTCTGTGAGAGGTTCCTCAAGCGATGAGAAACCTCATCCGTCAACCAGTCCGGTTGGCTCATTCCATAGATTTTCTGAATGCATTGCAATTAGTCGCATTCTTTCCATTAAATGTTCTTCTCTACTAACTTCTGACAACGTCAGGTAGAAATCAGCAAAACAGCCGCTTTTGCTTCTAAAAATGGTTAGGGAGTTCCAAACTTTCTCGCGTCTTTAAAGGCAGCGTCCGGGCAAAAAGTCGATTTTGAGATTTTGTGCTTACCCGGGCCTATTCACTATGCTGAATCCGAAAATCCACATTGAAAAGCGCGAAAACGGCAAAAAAGGCTCTAAGGCAGGATGGAAATCGGAAGTGGGCGGGGTCTTCCCCACTGTGAATTTCGCAGTCCCAGCTTCTGGAGCAATCTTCCTAATTCCTCTAGCGCCCTGAGATCTCCACCGGCCAGGTGCGAATGCATGACTTGAAATCGGAACCGAGAAGATCGCTCTGGAAACTGAGCGTGAATTCACAGTGGGGAGGACTCCGCCCACCTGCTGATTTCTCTTCCGTGTTAGAGCCGTTTTTCGCCGTTTTCGCGCTCTCCAGTGTGCATTTTCGGATTCAGCATAGCGAATAGGCGCGGGTAAGCACAAAACCTCAAAATCGACTTTTTGCTCGGACACTGCCTTTAATCACTTTGTAACACAAGCAAGTGAATCGAAGAAGAATCTTCTTGGAAAGTATTTTACTTGGATCAAGTTAGGCATATGGCAATTTCTTTCAAACTTAGCTGTAATCGGTCACAGCTGACAGAAATTTTGGGTTCAGGGCAGTTTTGTTCAAACTGATGGCGCAGAAAGGAATAAGTTTGCCGCAAAATAAAGGAAGTGTGCGATTAATCTTTGAATCCTCCTCAATCGAAATGATCAAGATGGGAAACGACAATAATTTGTCCAAGATTTCGTCTTGTAGATTCAATAGACCAATTATACTTCCAAATTAAGCAAAATCTAATTTTTTAAGTCTCATTATCATGATAGTTTTTTGAACTCACTATTTCATTTGCTATGAATTTAAAACTAAAACTTGCGTCTTGCAACCTACCACGCTCGAAAAGTTTACGAATGATTGGACATAGGTCATAATAACTAGTTAGAAGCACGAAGAAGTAATTAAAGGGGCCAGAGAGTTTGAAGCTCCTCAGGTACTTCCATAATCAGAAGCGGCAAGCCTTTGCTGCCTCCTGCAGAACAACGACATGGTATTATTATTATTATTGTTGATTATTCATAGCTTTACTCTACTAGCATCTTCTTCACTTGTAGGATGAAGTGTATTCACAAGCAAACTTACTTCTATGTGATGTGCGTCATGGATTAGGTAAATGTTATTCAGGGTGACCTTCATCCCGGTTTTCTCGGAAAGAAAATCAAGAAAATCCTGAAAATAGTGAAACCTCTGGCTCTCGTAAATACCATTGTTTTGTTCTCATTTTACTACCTTGTTGTCTTCATTCAACTTGCGGAATTCTTTGCTGCTTCTTAGTTGCTCGTCCAACTGGTCAGCACGCGGACATGGGGCAAACACGTTGCCGGCCTAAGAATGTAGTAAATTCAAAATGAATTGACGAATCTATCGCCAACCCACATGATCCTCCTTTACCGGCAATGTGTGTACTGGGATAGGCGTCCACGCATGAGGCCAGCTAGATAAAGACTGTTTGCGATTTAAGCCCAAACACAGAGACACCTACTTTCCAAATTCAGGAAAGTCTTTGCCTGGCTCGCCCTCGTAGAACATACCGGCAAGGTTGGCGTAGGCCGAGATGAGCGTGCGATTTACATCAGTTGAACGAATGTAGATCTGCGAATATAAGGTTTCAGAAAAAAAATGTGTATCAGTTACGAGATAGAAAGGGGAATACGAAATTAATCTTACGAGGAAATATTTGAAATCGAAATTCTACCTCAAGCAAACTGCACACCATTAGATGCAGCATAAAACGCTGACTCTAAATCTGTCTTCCTTATCTGCAGACACTTTTGTGGACGAAATTATAAGCCGTTAAAAGCCATTATTTTGCTGAGAAATTGGGCGTGTAAAGGGCAAGCTTGGCCGTACAAAGCCATTTTCGACTCAGTGTTGGACCAAAACATGCAAATGGGTTACTTCATATGGGTCGTACCTAGAGGAACGCTAAAAGAGCAATAATGTGCCTAATTCTGCAGTTTTTACGCATGACTGTTTCCCAGTAAAACTGCCCATAACTTCACCTACAAAGGCGGTCTAAGATATGGAAGACAGATTTGAAATCAGCTTTCTATGCTGGATCGAATAGTATGCAGCTTGTATGGATTGGCACTTCGACTTCTGACCATTCCCCTGTCAGCAATTTCACCGCCTACAATAATGATATTGCGGCTTTCTCCATCATCTCACGATAAAGTGGGGAAGTTTCAAGTTTCAAAAAGCATTTACCTCCTTTGATCCATATCTTCTGCTCAAAAGCGGGTCTGTAGAATTGATATATCTTTTATGCAGAACTCTCCCGAGGGCATACTGTTGTCTCATTCCTAGCTAAAATTCGGATTATGAAATAGTTCAAATGAGATGCGTCTTTTCTCCTTACAGGTGTTAGTTCGCCCCAACCATTTGGCCAAGCATCTTCTTGATGTTTGTCTGTAGGATATGTCATAGTGGGAGCACGATCACCATGTCTCCAAACCTAAACTTTAAGTTTTTTCATCAGTATTAGGGCCACATAACGAGGGTACTTGTTCATACTTACTACTTGGACCATGATCAATTTGTCGTTTGGTTTCATCACCCGTGGATTTACAGGGATTGGTGGACCTATTGGTAACACCTCTTCTTGTACATGCGAAGAGAATGCAGCAGCTTTGGTAATCAAGTAGAACAGAATAAGCAGCATCATTGGACTGAAGTATTTTGGATTTCAGTGGAAATAGTTGATTCTCTGGGATAATAAGCAAAATTGGCGTAGGACAAACCGATGAAAATTCAAGCTGAGGATGTTTGAAGTACATACACCTACAAAGATGTCAGAAAGATCTTGTGCATTTAGTCATCGATAATATTATTGCGGAAGTGCAAAGTACTGTTAATCAGTCAAACAAGAGCATTTGTTCAAGTGATTAGATGGGTGATAAGATATATTCAAAGTAGCAAAATCAACGAAGTGATTTGTTTTATCTATTCCAAGTAGGGCTGGTCATACTCATAGAGGAGCAACCAGATAAAATTACAATGAAAATGAAAAGCGCGATTTACAAAAAATACTTCAGTAGGAAAGAGACATTTGCAGTTGATGAAAGCTTACTGCATGCAAATCATCGGAGATATTTCAACGCTTTCAAATGACTTACTTATTGATTACACTAAGTTATCTCCAAGAATATTCTCTGATTTCTCATGATATAAAAAAAGGAACTGAGGTGCTTGATTTTCTACATTTTCTGACATCAAAAAGCAGATGATAGAAGTCTACTTTTGAAACACATGTTACGCGAATTTTAAAGCGCGTCGTTGCTGTTGAGAGATAAAGAAAACACTGAGTGAACGATGTAATACATATGACCGTTGACCTGGCAAGATTAATGGCCGGAAGGCAATGGAGCACAAGTGCCAAGCCCTGAAGTAACGCAAGTAATTTGTTAGTGTGACCCACTCCTGCGATAAGGTCACATTTGTGGCGAAAACAAGAAAAATTGCAAAATTAAGACTTTTGTTTACCACTTGGAGATGCAAAAATGTGTATAGTTGTTGCATCGGGCAAAATACTCATTACTACTTGTGCGTCTTCCTTCTCATTGTTTTAGGAAAATCAGTCTTTCAGAATTGCAATTCTCTTCTTACTTCCAATTGGCAAACGAATATTCCTTCTCATGGTTATAGGAGAGTTTTTTTTAGTATATATTTAAATCTTTCGCTCTAAGTTCGCCTTTATTCGAAAGTAAAAGTAACATTCATCGAAGGGAAACATCTATCACTAACTGCAAAGTGTTGGTGAAGTCAGAAGTGGTAAAATCTAGCAGATTGATCTAGGATAATAACATCGTATTACTGCTAAAGTAGGAGTGCAATAGGTAATCAAGTTTGATCAACAGTATTCGAGAAGACCTACGAAGGATAGGGTACGATTGCAAAGAATCTTGCTTAATATATCTTGTATTTTTTAGCTTCAGATTATTACACCGCTTCAATTCCAAAATTTTGCAGCTTCTGATCTTTTCAACCGATTTACTTGCTTTTATTTTGGTTCTGAAGAGCAAATCATTCTCTCATCTTAGCGGCTTTCTACTACGCATACATTACATAGATAGAAGCGGAAAAAATAAATTACTCAAAGCTTGATTTTTGTGTTTGGTTGTGAAAATCTGACATTGGCAGTAAAGATTATAGCAATCGATGTTACAGTTTCATTTCCGCTCTTTCTAATTGTGCAAGGTTCTGATTGAACATTTCTCTTCTAAGTCATATTATTTGAGCAAGCAGTGCCAAACAGCAAATTTGATTTTTTTTCGCATTTTTTGAGAACCATAACTTAAAGAAATTTTCACTCAGCAAAATCTTTCATTTAAAAAGAGCATGTAATAAAATCTATAGTATAAGCTGCCCCAATTTTTACTGCAAGTGCCATATAGAGCATGATTTGCTCTTCAAAATAGTACTAATAGCAGCAAATCGGTTGGAAAGATCATAGGTTACGAGACTATGAAAGTGCTGCAAACGAGTTTTCGAAATGATCTTACATGTAGGTTCGCATTTGTAAAAAGTGAACCTCATCTCGCAAAAGCATTACAGTTGATTTCGCCAAGCTCTGCAACTTATCTTTGCTTGCTAATTTTACTGTAAAGCACGTCCAAGGTGTATCCGAAATGCACTTAAAAAGTGCACCCTTCGAACAGCCAATGTCATTGTTTGACGTTTCCAAAATGTACAGCTATCGCATATTACAGGGTGGGGCAAAAGTCTGGGAGCTTGGCACTTTTTCGGATAAAATCAAAAGGAAGGTACCTAGAAACAACTTGGTGCGCACTAAATTTAACCTTTACAAATACAGCGCAGCTTTCAAATTTTAAAATTGCCTCTTCTGGCTTCGAAGCAACCCCTTGACTGTCGCGGCACACAGGCGGTCGCGATAAAATTCGTCCCACGGCTTCACAAAAACTGCTTTTTTCATTATGCAAATGTGCAGTATGATAGAGCAAGCTTTTGGCTACAATATGTTATGAAGAAACTATCTTTGCAAATTGGAGAAGAAGATTTCGGGATTTTAAATGAAGGCAGGAGTACTTGCATACTTAAAATTTGGTTGCGATGACGCGAAGGTACGAAAAATCATAATCTAGAAAGTTTTGAAATTGCTCCATCGATCGAATTCGAATAGATGCTTTTATAGAAGACGCGTGGAAAGAATATAGTTTAAAGCTCGATATCTGCTGCACTCTTATAGCTTTCGAAGTTATTCTGAAGATGAATGGCCACTGGCAGGTAATATTCGCAGTTGTGATTTGCGTTTTTTTTTAAAATAATAGCTTCTTGCAAACGCAACACTGCGATATGATGGAGCAAACCTCCTCTACATTGTCTGCATCAAGGTGTTGTATAATATTCACAGTTTCTTCAGCTACGGAATAATTAGTGAATACTAAAAATTTTGATTTTCTCGCTCTGCAGAAGCACTTGTTCGATAAGTCGAATTCTTATAGAAACATATTTATTTACTTATTTATTTATTTATTCGAAATATCTCTTGTGGATTGCATTTGAACCCTTCCCCACCTTTTCCTTTTTCATTCTCTCTTCTACTCTCAGGTTTTTCCTTAATGGATGTCCCTTGTTTTGCATTCAAAAAGAAACCTTTACTAAAACACTCACATTGGAATGCTTGTCTTCTCGACGAGAGCCACAATCTTCATCCTATCTTTGAACTTTTTAGGTCGAAGGTATCTCAAATGCATACAGCCCGTGTGAATGCATCCGACTAATAAGTCTCTGTTTTCAATATCAAAACCTTCAACTTTTTTTCGGCCACTCTTTACTTATTCCTCCTGGATGGCTTTCTACAAAGCCATAAAGAAGCTTTTCCGTACCTCAATTTCTTCCAGCAAAAAATTCCCACAGATTATGCTAGTTTTTGACATATCAAAAACTTGAAAGAAAACAGGGTTTTTGCCACATTGCATGATTCTTTCCCTCCCCTACCCTTTCTTTCTCGCTACTCTGAACGACTCTGACAAAACTATGTTCTCTATTCACAAGCAATTACAGAATTGCTGGCTGCTTCTCTTCTTTTTGAAATGTGCAAATGTGCGTAACACACTCTTCAACCCTCCTTGAGAGTTTTCAAAGCGAAGATATCCTGACAATGCATACATACCCAGCATGAGTGACTGTGAACCACCGAGCTGCTCCGCTTTACTACTACCCTATTTCACGCGTATAAGGCGCGGGGAATTCTTTTCCAAAATCGACCGGCCCAGACACGCCAAAGGACTTTACAAACAAAGGACCCTATAACATGCTGTACAATACCGCTCACATTTTTTGAAAAATAGACGCGAATGTATGGACATGTCGCTACATGTCCATACATGTATGGACATCACCGTCGCGTGGCCATATCTCGCTTCAGAGTGGACGAATTCTGAATCCAAAGCCACCATTCGATTCAGCTCGGCACGGAGAATCTTCTGATATATTGGAAGTGGGGGTACGATGTCTTCGATATTCCGTTTCCAGTTTTTTCGAATTGTTCTGCTCCTTTCGTGAACATGGAAGAAACGCCTATCCAACATAAAAGACTTTACTAAGTAATATTCGATAATGCTGTTCTTGTAGATTATTGCGTAGAATATCGCCATAACTTCCTTCAAAATAGTATATTTTGAATCCGAAAACAGCACCTTGCTCAGCTCATCAAGGCGAGTCTTTTTATATACAGCATGTCCTTGTTATTTCGATTTTAGTATTCTTGAATCTTTCTGAGGACGTCTTTTCGCGAAGGTGTAAAGCAGCGAGCAGTGTCCCGAGTACATTCCAGCAAGGATCTTTCGATAGTTCTTTTTCTGTAGATTACGATGTGCTAAATAGTAGCCGCAGATTTCTTTTCAAAGGAAGTAGAACGGCTAGTGAATTGTGGAAAAATCTTGCAGTCCCACTACTCGCCATAACCCCAGAATACGGAGCTATCTTGCTAAGCAGATGTGAGTTTCAAAGTCAGCAGGTCGCATAACCTCTACGAGCAAGTTTTCCGATGCGTTCGGGTTATTTCATTTTTTCTCGTTTCACGCTCCGGAAACTCGCCAATGTATTTTGATCAAAATGTTGATGCTCTTGAATTGTAAGGAAACTTCGCTTGCAAAGGTTTTCGAACACGCTCTTTACGAAAATCGTTGTCTTTGAGAATTACAGGGTCTCTCTGGAGAGATACGGTGAGGTGACTGTAACTGCATCACGAAAGTGCGTAAGCCCGCACTTCTCGCGTATCTGTCAGAAAACTTGCCTGCTTGCTCTTCTAGGTCAAAGTTACTAGGAATTGTGCTATCGAATGGTGCATGACTCAGGCTCCAGTCTGTGAAATTCGCCGAGTTACGAGCTTACGAAAACACGTCCTCATGGATTTTTCCCAAAATGTAAAGATCGCATATTTCGTCGAAATTCCTCCGTGAGCGCTTGTATGACGCTCGTTGCAGATATTTACAGACTGGAGCCTGAGTCATGCACCGTTCGACAGCACAATTCCTAATAACTTTGACTTAGAAAAGCAAGCAGGCAAGTTTTTTGAGAGATACGCGAGAAGTGCGGGCAAAGTTACGCACTTTCGTGATGCAGTTACAGTCACCTCACCGCATCTCTCCAGAGAGACCCTGTAATTCTCAAAGACCACGATTTTCGTAAAAAGCGTGTTCGGAAGCCTCTACAAGCGAAGATTCCTTACAATTCAGAAGCATCAACATTTTGACCAAAATCCATTGGCGAGCTTCCGGAGCGTGAAAGGAGAAAAAACGAAAAAACCCGAACATATCGGAAAACTTGCTCGTAGAGGTTATGCGACCTGCTGACTTCGAAATTCACATCTGCTTAGCAAGATAGCTTCGTATTTTGGGGCTATGGCGAGTAGAATTTGGGACGGCAAGATTTTTCCACAATTCACCAGCCGTTCTACTTCCTTTGAAAAGAAATTTGCGGCTACTATTTAGCACATCATAATCTACAGAAAAAGAACTATCGAAAGATCCTTGCTGGAATGTACTCGGGACACTGCTCGCTGCTTTACACCTTCGCGAAAAGACGTCCTCAGAAAGATTCAAGAATACTAAAATCGAAATATCAAGGACATGCTGTATATAAAAAGATTCGCCTTGATGAGCTGAGCAAGATGCTATTTTCGGATTCAAAATATACTTATTTTGAAGGAAGTTATGGCGAGTAGAATTTAAAAACGCGTGATTTTTCTAAAATTCACCAACGAGTCTATCTCCTTTGGAAGAAAGTCTGAGCCTATTTTCTAGCGCGCAATAATCTCCAAGAACAGTATTATCGAATAGCACTTAGTAAAGTCTTCTATGTTGGATAGGCGTTTCTTCACATGTTCACGAAAGGACCTCCGCAGAACAATTCGAAAAAACTGGAAACGGAATATCGAAGACATCGTACCCCCACTTCAATATATCAGAAGATTCTCCGCGCCCAGCTGAATCGAATGGTGGCTTTGGATTCAGAATTCGTCCACTATGAAGCGAGGTATGGCCACGCGACGGTTCCATACATGTATGGACCTGTCCATACATGTCCATACATGTCCATACATTCGCGTTTATTTTTCAAATAGGTGAGCGGTATTGTATATTGCTTGAGAGAATCGTGCGATGTAAGACTTTTTTCCGAAATAGAGTGAAGCGGCTGAACGGCTCGCTTGAAAATTTGAAAAAGTGTGCCTTATACGCGTAAAATTAGGGTACTTATCTCTCCTCAGTGATTTTCTGCGCACCCCATCACTGAGCTCCTGACTGCGAAAGTTATCTACATTCGACCCTCATCCCTCCCTCAAATTTTCCAATGTCGATGCTTTTGTGTAGAATGTTTCAAACTTTGCCCTCTCCTCCACCTGCTCCCCAGAAATAAGCCACTTTTGCAAAGCTTCTCCGGTCACGACCTTCAAACTGCTTGATTTTCTTGCAAAGTGCCCACATCGCCGAAGTCGAATTGCAAATTTTCTGAAGTTAAAGTTCCCCTTCATATAACATGTTTATCACACTTTGACCATCCCTTCATCATTTGTTTGAAGCATTAGCTTTTGGTGCTTAACAAAAAGATGAATTTTATTTTTTACTGTCAGAATCAAAGAAAAACAGTTCCAGCTAAGATAGTCGACCGTCTTGTTCTTATCTAGCAATTTTCAGTGCAGAACCCCTATCCGTCCTGCAAAAAGTCTTTTGGACACCCTAGGAACTTTTTTCTTTTGCAAAATTTGATTTTTTTTTGTATCATACTGACGGAAAAGCGCTTTTCATAATCGGCAAAAAAGTTTACGGAAAAACACTTTTTGTAAGGAAAATTGACGAACGAAAATGCTTCTTTTTGTCTTTTGAAAATTCCACATCTGGAAGCTGAGATGTCGAAGTGGGTCCTTCCATTGATATAAATAGGTCATAATCAGCGCCAGGCGTGGGGTGTGGCACGACACACCTGGGGGTAGTACTGAAGGGCTAAAAAGGGAACGGGTCATCGTCAAATAACCTTTGTGGAACAAGTTTGAGCGAATTATGAAGTTTCCAAATAGGCCACCAGAGTGAATGGTTATTTTCGAACGCAATTAACTTTGTTTCAGAGATAGAGTAGATACCCCTTTAGGCACCAATATATAGCACTACTCCTTGTTTGCCCGTCTCAGAGATCCCGCTCCACAAGACCTCCAAAATGTGGAATCAGAAGCCAACCAAAATCCTGTTTCTCTCATTTTTCGCTTTTAATGGCTGTACCTTCAGTAATTATTACTCAGAGCAAAAAAGACGAATCAGGCCCGAATTATTTCTGTGAAATCTACGAGATTTAAGCTATCGAATCATTTGAATATTATTTGCTAAAAATGTTTTTCAAGGTAAATTAATGAGGTGTCGCACAACCTCAAAAAAGGCGCCACACCCAGGGCTCGGTACGAGTTGGCACCAGGGGAGTTTCAAAACGAAGTCCCGTTTGATCTTCAAAATTTCGTGTGAAGTCCCCTTTGACCTGCTTTGAACCCGTCATTGTTTTCGGATTAGATTATAAAGGTGTATAGTAGGGTTATCATGCATGCTGATTTCATGGAACAACTTTTCACAGCTTTCTGAGCATTTGATTGGTTGAATCACATCTTAAAAAGCAGAAAAAGCCGATTTGCCGACTGCGAAGCGACCGAGTAACGGATAGCTATAAAACGCTGAAAAGAAAACATTATGAAATTGTTTTTTCTCTGTATGTAATCTTCTATAGTGTAGATACATTCTATGTAAAAAAAGTATGAAAACTTAGTGAGCAAAGTGTCGGCGCCAGCTAATTCAGAAAAGCGTTCAGCACAGCTTTCATTCACATAAGTTTTCACAAATTTTTGGGCCATAGTTTGGGTCCCCCAACGCGCATGCACACACCAAATTTGGTGCCATACTATTGCGTTTTGGCCGAAACAATGCCTTTGCTTTTGTTTGTTTGATGGACAGCATGCCGGTGGCATGCCGACGGCATTCTTGCAGCTCTTCTTCGCCCCATTCCCCGGAAAAAGGATATCCCTTTGCTCCGCCCTAAAACGATATTCAGTTTGATCCGATGCCAGGTGCCGAGCCCTGGCCACACCTTTTTGGAGCTGTGCTATACCTCATTAACTATGTCACAAAAACATTATTAGCGAACAATACTTGTATGAGTGATAGCTAGGACTTCTAGATTTCAAAGTAGTGATTTGAGACTGATTCGTCTTCATTGCTCTGAGTAATAGTTTTGAAAATACAGCCATCAAAAGCAAAAATGGGAGAAAGATTTTGGTTGGTTTCTAATTCCACAGTTTGGAGGTCAGCGGGATTTTCTGAATGGAAAACAAGGAGTGCTATTAATTAGTGCCACAGAGGTATCTACACCTTTGCAGCAAAGTTAATTGCGTTCGAAAATGACCATCCACTTTGGTAGGGCAGTGTTTGGAAACTTTATAATTCGCTCAAACTTGGTTCACAGTGTTCTGACATGCTAGCTACGCAAATATCACTTGCTATGTTTGGTAGGGCCTTCAGGTTATGCCTATTTCATATATGCAGTAGTTCAGGGGGTGTAATTGAGACAGCAATTGGAGGGGGGGGGTCGTATACAGCGATCGGGTGCTACACCTCTTGCTTGACCCTGGTCGTAATTAAGAGCTGATTTTTAAAATTCTGTCGTTCCGATGGTATGAAAACGCTACGAACTTTTAAGACGACCCTTTAGCAGAAAAAAAAAGGGACGTTATTCCATCTTTTGGATATGCTGGAATGGACAGGACGAAAAGTGCTGATTGCTAGAACTTTTTCGTTTGAAACTTTATTTGATGTTCATCACCTCAATAATTTCTTAATGCCAATGCCAAAGCTCGTATTAACTTAAGATAGTTAGTGGTGTGAGAGTGAAGCAAATGAATCTTTGCTAGATTGTAGAGTTCGAAAAAAAAACGAAACGAGTAATCATGAAGCTCTGTTGATAACTGGCATGCAAATGCGACCTACGCGATAATGCATAAATTTTTCATAATGCGAGAATTCTCATAGTTGACAGGTTGCTCTAAGTGCCTACAAATTCGTGGTTATTATAATTGCAGCTCTAAATATCAAATGGCTCTTGCTTTTGGAGTCCTGTCGATTTCTCACTTTTGAATCGATGGTCGCGACTTTTCTTGGTCGTGACCTACTGATTGCGCGATTGATCTACAGTCTGCCCCAATCGGGACCAGGCCGAAACGTCGGCTGAATTGCGCGCTCGCACCGCTAGGGGATTGCGCTGCATACGCGCGCTGTCGCAGAGAGTGAAGAGATCGAGGAGAGAGCAGACTAGCTAGCCGCAGATGCGGCGCGAAACCCTCGCGGCGCGGACTCCCGCCATGCCGATTTTGGCCTGGTTAGGATTGGGGCAGACTGTATTCGATCCATCGCGCTCCCGCCAATAGGCGTCACCGAGCTCGACTCGGATGTATCCTCAGTTTGCTTTTGTGAGCGCTCCTGTCCGCTCGCTTTTTTTTAAATTCGATTTTTTCCATGGATATGGTTCGTCTCTACGCCGGTTTTAGCCCTGGGCCCCGGCCGGCGAACCACACATACAAGTCAGTCCTAGGATTAAAACCTTTACTGACTTTTGGTGTTGCAGATGAGTCGCTCTCGTTCGAGATCGAGCGACCGCGAACGTAGCCGTCATTCGCGTTCAAGCAGCACGTCGTCCAGCGAGTCATCCGGTCGATCGAGCTCCCGTTCTCCGTCGCCAGATCCCCCAGAGGAAGGAGAGCTGGACCGTCAAGGACCCGTGCCAGGCTTGGACTACCAGTCCCCCTTATTGGGGCTCCCCAGAATACCTCGCAGGGATGAATTCGCTTCAGCACAAGAAGAAATACCCGCCCCGCCTGCGGTGCCGCAGAGGACTCAGCGCATCAGGATAAGCCTCACTGAGGAGGCTAGGCGCCGATTTGACCAAGTGGCGGCCGGGATGCAGATGTCAAGCAGTGAGCGGATAGCCATATTGAAAGATGTGCCGCTCGTCTCCTCACCGTTCGCAGAAGTAGCGATGTTGGACGACCAACTCAGGGAGGTCGAGAGGTCCATTCAGCTTCGGGAGGCAGACTTACGCGGTCTAAACGAAACCCTCATCAACACCATCAATATAATCGAGCTGGTACGAAAGTTAGGAGCTGACGGAGCAGGAACAGAATTCCATCCTTCCGTCATTGGATATTTCGACATTGCTACCACCCTTCTTTCAGCCTCCTTGCGCGACATCATTGTCTTCAGGAGAGAAAGAGTGTTGAGGTGGGTGTTTGAATGCTAATGTTAGTCATGAGTATCGCGAGTCTCATTTCAGGTCCCTCGGACTGGACCCTTATAAGGCCATGCCTTCCTATAGAAGGCTTCCGCTTGCCGGGACCACAGTGGTACACCGCATGTCCCAAGCAGTACATCCGGAACTGTTCGGACGCGAATTAAGGGACGAACTGGCCGCGGGGGAAAGTGCCTTGTTGAAGTCCGTGCAGAAATTGCGTGCCCAAAGATCACGAAGAAGAGACAGGCCTGATACAAGGAAAAGAAGGTCGGTTTTCTTTGTTTCGCTCTATCCCCCAAACAGTAAAAAATTAGTATTGGCCAAGATTAGCTCCGACCGGATTGCAGGTCGATTGGCCGACTTTGCACAAAATTGGGGAAAGGTGACCACTGACCCACATGTGCTAGCTGCGGTGAAGGGTTACTCTCTGCCCTTCATGGCGAAGCCCCGCACGCGCTTACCCTCAGACTGGATGGCCGCACAGCATTCACCCCCCAGCATCGATCCCGCGCTAAGTGAACTACTCACCAAGGGGGTAATATGTAAGGCTGCTCGCAACACACACGTGTGGCTGTCCAACATGTTCGGAGTTCCGAAGAGGGATGGGTCGACGAGACCGGTGATAAACCTCAGATTTCTGAACAAGTACCTTTGGATCCCTCACTTCAAAATGGAAGGACTGCATCTCGTTGCGGATGTGGTATATAGAGGGGATTATTGCGTCAAGATTGACATGAGTGACGCGTACTTCGCCGTCAATATTGAGGAAAGATCTAGGCCTTACCTAGCCTTTCGGTGGAAGAAGGATATTTATTACTTTACTTGCTTGCCCTTCGGCCTGGCTACAGCCCCGTATATCTATACAAAGCTCATGCGCGTAGTGGCTCAGCACCTGCGATCTAAGGGCATTAGACTGATAATGTACCTGGATGACTGGGCTATTTTTGTCGGCAGCAGACAGAAGTGCATCCGGTACACGCGCTACGCCCTGAAGGTGTTTGCGAGGTTAGGATTACGGGTCAAGTCTGTCCTTACACCAGGACAGAAACTGCATTCTCTGGGCATGGATATAGACACTGTAGCCATGAGATTTGCGTTACCCAGCGACAAAATAGCCTGTATTCAAGACGAAGCCAGATCGTTGGCAGCGCAGGAGAAGGTGAAGGCTCGAGATCTCTCTCAATTTTTGGGAAGAATAAATTTCGCAGCGGTTGCTTCCCCGCTGGCCATGCATATGGCGCGGATTCTGCAACACGACTTGGCTGTAGTCGTAAACCCCCACGATGACTCCACCTATGAGGCGTTCTTGACCTTGTCGGGGGGGGGGGGGGCAAGAGAGACCTGTGCTGGTTTGCACAGGGGTTCCAACATGTGGCTTCCTCATCCTTTACCAGATTTTCCCCTGACGTCATCATCACAACCGATGCGTCAAAGTCAGGATGGGGGGCGATATGCTGCGGACAGAAGACCGGAGGTCGCTGGTCTTCAGAAGAGGCGGAGGCGCATATAAACACGCTCGAGTTGCGAGCTGCCTACTTCGGTCTTCTGTCCTTTGCCAGGGATTGGCACGATGTTGACATATTGATGGAAGTGGACAATACCGCTGCTATCGCTTATATCAAGAGACAGGGAGGCACAACTAACATAGCTATGACACTCATAGCTAGAGAAATGAGCAAGTGGGCGATAGAACGTAACATTCGTCTGTCAGCCACATATCGTCCGGGCACGCTAAATAGTCTAGCCGATCGGGAGTCTAGAGTTTTCCATCATGAAAACTCTGAGTGGTCCCTGGATGCGGATATGGCCAAAACCCTGTTTAGAACATTCGGGTATCCGGATGTAGACTTATTCGCATCTAGGCTCAATAAAAAAATTGGAAGCCTATTACTCATACAACTATGATCCAGGAGCACTGAAAGTCGATGCTTTCGCTCAGAACTGGTCGGGGATCTTCGGATACGCTTTTCCGCCATTCAACCTCATCGGTGTGGTAATACGAAAAGCGGTCGACGAAGGAGCAACCCTCCTTCTCGTAACTCCCCTCTGGAGAACTCAGCCCTGGTTCCCCATAGCACTGAGACATGCAAAGTCTCTACCATGGTGCCTTGTGTCAGAAGCCCCAATCATCACAGACACAGTGGGGAGATCGCACCCCCTCACTGCTCAAAAGAACTTCCACCTCTTAGCCTAGAGCATCTCTCCCAGATGTGGTCCGCTTCAGGGCTCCAACGCCATGCAGTCGATTTGCTCATGGCCAGCTGGGCTCCCAATACTCACAAGCAGTATGAGTCCGCACTCAAGAAGTGGAATTCCTATCTGAAGCATTCCGCGGTCTCGCCTCAGACTGCGACACCAACATTGGTTTGCAATTTTTTAGCGGAACAGCTGAGCTCGGGGCTGACGTATGCAACGGTAGCCTCTTATAAGGCCGCTGTATGCACAGTTAGTGACCTGTGTTATGGTTTCAACTGGTCCTCCGACCTGACCATATCACGCCTAATGAAGGGAGGCTTTCGATCTAAACCCCCTCGGCCACGCTACACCTCCACCTGGAGTGTAGACGAGGTGCTAAGGTATATCCACAAGCTAGGATCAAACGAGACGCTCTCACTAAAAGACCTAACTCTCAAGTTGACTACTCTCCTAGCACTGTGTTCTCCAAAGAGAGTGTCGGAAATAGCATCGCTGTCCTTGGAGGCGATGCATAAACAGCCCAATAGGTGGACCTTCTTTCTCGATTACAGGAACAAGACGAGAAGAGCAGGGCCTCCGCAAACGGCCGTATATGAGAGCTATTTCGCAGACAAGACACTGTGCCCGATATCTACTCTTAGTGAGTACATTGAAAGGACCACAGTTTTGCGTCGGGGGGAACAACAGCTGTTGCTATCCTACATGTATCCACACAAGCGTATCAGTTCCGCAACTGTGGCAAGATGGATTAGAATCTTCCTAGATCAAGCCGGGGTAGATACCACGTACTATAAGGCTCATTCCACGCGTTCGGCCAGCACTTCTAAAGCTCAGCTGATGGGCGCCACTCTGCCCACTATTATGCGTGCGGCATGCTGGGCTTCAGGAAGCACAACCTTCCAGAAGTTCTATCACAGAGAAATTTCGGAGCCCTCCTTTCAGGAGATGATTCTCCGAAGGTGATTTGAACGAGCCATTTGATATTTAGAGCTGCAATTATAATATTATATTATGCAAGACTTGTTGAAGTATAATATTTATTATAATTGTCAGCGAATAAATATCAAAGCCCTCCCGCGATCCGCCCGAAAGTAACATTCATTCTTACAGGTCGCACACACAGCCCAGCACAAGCAGAGCCGAAAACGCGTCGACATCGTCGGTTCGCGATAAAACGCAGGACAGACTGAGAGCCAAGAAATTGTTCAAGAACGAGAAAAGAAAGGAGAAATAGCTTTACCATCACCTCAATAGGATTCTGCTACCTCAGCAATAGATGTATAACGTGTTCGTTCGGGTTGACTAATAAATGTTCATGCGTTTCCTCTACATGCTGAATTGCAGCTGTAGTCATCCGTACTGCACGAGTAGTTCACTTAGCCGGGGACGCTAGCTACTCGCACTCCCTCAGCAAACTGAGGATACATCCGAGTCGAGCTCGGTGACGCCTATTGGCGGGAGCGCGATGGATCGAATAGATCAATCGCGCAATCAGTAGGTCACGACCAAGAAAAGTCGCGACCATCGATTCAAAAGTGAGAAATCGACAGGACTCCAAAAGCAAGACCCATTTGATATTTATTCGCTGACAATTATAATAAATATTATACTTCAACAAGTCTTGCATAATATAATATTTTAAGCAATGTCAGAGTGTCCCACAAAAGTTTATTTTTTTTTCAGTGAAGATGGGTGAGGTGCCCGTTATTGCAAATCACTTGATGATTGAGATGACCGATGATCCCATGCAAAATCAATGAAACGCTTGTAAGCGTCAATTCAGGTAACTGGTAGCGTAAACCTTCTGTACAATCAAAGACGCCTTTTCTTGATTTTCATCTTTTCGGGTTGCTGAACTCCGACCTTAATTAGATGCGTCTTTTCTTGGATGACAAGTGTATTTGTTTATTGCTCATTCGGAACCCGTCGTTGATCTCCCATGTACCCGATACTGTCAAGCTGAATCACATACTGACCTAGTGGGCGTACATACGAATCAATCTCGCAGAAATGACTTCTTATTTGCTTGAGCTATTCTTGTGCAACTTTATCACTTCCTCTGCCCTCATATATGCCACGATCGCTCCATCAAAATTTGAATTTTCGACGCCTGCAAGCTCGAGCAAGTCATGCTCAGAAAATTTTGTGTCAGAGTAAGGATTTATCAACATATCACTCCAGTAAGATTCAACCATTTACTCAGCATCGAAAACTCCATCGTTTGGAATAACACATATAAATGGATTGTGATCACTGGAAGCTCTCAAATTTTCGAAACTGCTATGAAGGTAATCTTGTCGAAATGCATGGTTTGTGCAATCAACCTTGTTTTTCGCGAAACCATTAAAATCAAAAAATAGATTTGGAACTGCTGTTTAAAAGTCGGAAAGTGTAACCAACGCTGTTCTATCATTCAAAAAAAAAACCTCCGTTTCCTCTTCCTCACGAAAACATTGGGACTACCAGTGGTGAATTGCTATTGGAAAGGACGATATTTCAGAGTTCATTGACGATGCAAGAATGGAACTTTGTGTTCGTCGATGCTAAAGTGAGCAAAGGAAATGGAAGTCTGGTCAATGTCCATCATATCACATCGCAGCGTAAAAAATTCGGAGAATTGCGAGCAAGTTGGTTGCAGCCCGATAGAGTACTGTTGAAAGCAGCTCTTCTGTTCTTAAGAACAGTTGTTGTTGTTGTTGTTGTTGTTGTTGTTGTTGTTGTTGTTGTTGTTGTTGCTGTTGTTGTTGTTGTTGTTGTTGTTGTTGAACAATTGTTCTCGAACAATCGTTCAGCAAATGTTCGAGCTTTTATTGGAATCATTTGCATGTTTACGATCTATCGAGTTTTTAGCCAGAATCGACGGTTACATTTATGCTATTAGAAATGGAGCAAGACACATATACGAAGGCGACTTCGGCAGCAACGATGGTATGCTCAAGAGTTTTTAACAATAAGTCGCACGGGACTGTTAAGGTGGTCAACAACTTGCCAATTTTGACTATACTGAGACAAGTAGTGGGCTTATATACTCAGAACGAGGCGTAGGAGGCAGGTTGGCTTACAACTTTTTTTCAGCACTTCTTGCATTATGTATTCCATCACACAATATAATCAATTGTTCATGTCCAGGGTCAAGCGTGTTGATGCGATCCTGGACCCTCATTTACGACCCCCCTCCATGAAGGTACCCATCCGTACGACCCCTCCCCCTCCCCCCTCCCTCCCCTCCCCCATCTATCCCCCTTACCTCCCCTGCCCACATTTCTCGCGGTAACCTGCATAAACGAATGTCAATCTCAAAAAACACCTGCGTGAGAACTTCAGTGAGGTTTCGGAAGCAGAATTTCTAGGCCAATGGGTACTCCCAGCATCTCCAGCACATACACACACCTTCAATAATGTTTGAGATTCTGCAAGTTTATTTTTGAATTTTCAGGCATACTTCAGGCCAGCAAATTCGATTCCCGTATGCGACAAAAATTTTTACACGGAGAAAAAAATGACATTCTTGAACTACAAAAGATGTTTTCGACTAAGAAGCTCAGTTCTTACCTCTTCCACAGTTTTTCCTGCGAAAAAAAAACCGCTTTAGCGAAGTCCAGAACGACGTCAAAAACATGCATGAGCACGGTAGTTTGAAAATTCGTAACTAAAGCCAGGAAAAGATTGAGAGGCTGCAATTCTGTAGCATAGTGCCCAGACTATTCATGGAAGAAGTTTCAGCCCTTGAGGAGCAGTGAGCTCGAAAAAATTTAGATCAGGCTCTCGCAAATTTAGATGCGATCCTAAAAAGCAAAAACTGGGATTTTTGAGCTTAAAATTTTGTAACTTACTAGAAAAGTTATAAAACAGCCTGAAATTCTTATGATAAAAACTAGAGGGATGGCCTCATATTACAGCAAGTTTGCAGCTAACAAGCTTCAGTAGCTCCGGAGAAATTCAGATCAGGCGCAGCTACGACCCCCCTTTTCTCATTTTTTGCTACCATATATAAAATCATAAGAAAATCCGCAGTTTATAAAATAACACCAGATTTCGCACAGCAGTAGCAGGGCTTATCCAAAGTACATATAAATTGTAAGGGCCGTATAAATGGCATTACAAAAAGATTTACGAATTATTGATTGTCATCGTTGATCTACATGTGCGCTTTTGTCGAGTGTGCGAGTCTTCAGTGAGCCTTCGGAAGCAGGATGCCTACACCAATCCATACATCCAACATCTTTATCACACATACATGCCTTTAGTAGCATTTGAGCTCCTGAAAGTGTCTATTTATTGAATTTTAGTCATGCCAGCAGAGTTCGATCCCCGTTTGAGACAATATTTTGCGGGAGAAATAGCGATTCCCATAAAAAAAAGAACTAAGTCGTAATCTTTCAAAGGTGCAGCAAATGAAGCGAATTTCTACGCTTGCAAATGTTTTCAAATTATTGTTCACTCGTTTTTATTTGATACATTGGTACACGGCATCCCATGAATTCATTGTTAAGAACATGTAATAATTACTTGCTATTTGATTTGCTTTCAATCGTACGGTTTTTTTTATCCAAACTACCCCCTCTTACGACCCTCCCCTCACCGTAGGCCCCCTTTACGACCCCCGTTGCGACAGTCGCATCACACGCTTGACCCTGTTCATGTCTCTGATGTTAATTCTGGCCAACACGAAGTTTTGTTTAAATGCACGTAATAAGTAATAACTGTCAAGCCAAAGCTTTAACAAAAAGTCGAAAGAGTTTCTGACAAATTTTTGTCTACTCAATTTTTTTCAATCTCGAAAATTGGTCAAAAGACGAAGTAGACAAGAATGCATCAAAAGCTAGCCGGTTGACTTAGCTTGTCTTTGTCAATATACGGTATGTCTCAACTGCGTACTCCCTCATTTATTTAGATACTTAGACGACCCGTCTTCACGTGAAGTGCAGGCCGTAGCACAGAAGTTTAAAGTGATCCCTGTCCCTCGCTTCAGACTTCCACGATCTTCTTAGTTGTCGTCAGCGGCTGCGTCCAGGGTTTCCAGAAACAAAAATCGTATCCATCGTATCGTGATTTCTCAGCTAGTCCATCCTTAACACGAACACATCTGCCCATCTCGTTGGAGGTCTTCTTCGAGGACGTTTTCCTTAGCGAGGAATCCGCTCCGATGTTCTCAGTGCCCTCTGTCGTCTTTTCTTTTCATGATGTGACCCATTAATGCTTCGCTTTCGCAACGCATTCCGCTGGATTACAAAGAGGCGACTTTCTTCTTACCTTCGGGTCGGTCACCTTCAGAAGACTGCGCTCAAGCGCTTTGTGGGTGGTCAGTAGTGCTTTCGACGAGGATACAATGTCGACCCAAATCTCAGTTGCGTAACGGAACGCCACGGGAACCGTTGAGTCGTATGGATAGGCTCGAAGCTCCAGGTCCGTCAGTTTGTCTGGCTTCCTTCAAAGGCCCGAAGGTAGCCCAAGCTGCTTTTTTCTCCTGTTAAATGTTTCCCTCATGTCGTTTCATGCTTATCGAACATCCGAGATACATGTAAGAAGACGTCTCCGTAGTAGGGGTGCCTTCCAATTCCATTTCTGCATCTTCGCTAAGGGTGTTCTCCATGAACTGAGTTTTCTTCTTTATTCGCAATTTTATCTTCTTCCCTACTTCGTTTAGTTCCTTCAGCATCGTCTCTGCTTCAATGATACTGCTCGAAAAGTGTACGATGTCGTCCGCAAAACGAAGATTTGATATATCAATTTACGAATCTCTATATCTCGGAACAACCCGTGTGCCTCTCTCGTTTCAGTCCAGTGACTTCATCACCCACTGCAAGGCCGCGGTGAACAGCTTGGGCGAGATTGTGTCGTCTTGTCGGACCCCCTTCCCAATATGGTCAGGGGCGATGGAATAGTTGATCGTCGTCGTTGTACAATCCTTGCAGCAGTCGGCTAACGTCCTCACATAAGCAGGGTTCACTTTTTCATTGACGAGCGCTGACAGGATGGCGTTGATTTGGACGCTGCTAAAGGCTTCCTCGTAGCCGACGAAGATTAAGACGAGAGGGCAGTGAAAGATTTCTACAGGGTGCGCCAAAATTAACAGCGCGTTTTTTTGGATGCCAGAAGGATACTAAACGGGCCTGAGGGCGGATTAAGTATGTGTTTGTTTTCATCAACCATCATGATTGTAATGCAATAGTCAAATCGAAATATGGCTGCTTTTCCTTTTTAAAAAAAACTTTAAATTCTTTGGCAAGCTGAAGTATTCTGTACTCAAGCATGACTTCAAGTTTTTATATATCACCTTTTTAATAACCTATTTTCTTGCTTTGTACTTACGCAGAGAAGTAGAGCAAGCCTTCGTTTTCATTACTGCTAACGGGAATTTGAAAATTATTTCAAAGTGGAGTTGATTTTTTGAAAATCTGGTTTAGAGGCAGCATAAGTGGTGTGATTTCGGCCTTCTCAAATGAGCTTTATGATTTGGAAATGTCTAATAAATCAGATTCAAAACCACTAACTAATCGGTCATGTTAGATATCTTCTACAAGTCTCATAAATAGAGAATTGTTTTTTGTGGACGTAATCACAAAAGAACCTTGAAGGTAAATCTTATCCTTAAGCCAACCCCTTACCCCAGAAAGCGATTAACGCGTATTCATACAAGTGGCTCATCCGGGGTAAATTTAACCATGATATAGAGCAAGATTGGATTCACTCTGACACTTCGTACAAACGTCAAGTGATCTCTCGAGGCACTACTTTGTCCTAACGATACTGTTTTGACAATAAACACATATTTACGTTTACTACTATCTCAAATTCTATGGACTCTTTTCGTGTTTTCATCTGATGTTATCATCCGGTATTATATTCCGCCGGATTGTTATAGTAATAAATTTAGTTTTGAATAAAGTGCATGTCTAATTAAAGGCTTTGACATGGCGATCAAGCTCAACAACTCGGTAAATCTTTATGGTTTTCCCTCATTGAAGATTCAGTCCACCCATATACTCGTTCAGTGAACGATTTGATACATGATCAAATTATCGTAGCTCTTTCGAACATGCTCTTTACGAAAATCATAGTCTTTGAGGAATATAGGGTCTTTTTGCAAAGATATGATGAGGTAACTGTAACTGAGGCACGAAAGAGTGTTATTTGCCTGCACTTCCTGCGTATCTGTCAGAAAACTTGCTCGCTTGCTTTCATAGATTGAATTTACTGAGAACTGTGCCATGATAGTGCATGTCTCAGACTCCGCTTTACAAAAATCGCCGGGTTACAAGCCTACGAAAACACGTCCTCATGAATTTTGCCCAATATGTAAATATCGCGTACTTTCTTCGAAATTTCTCCTTGAGCGGTTGTAAAATAATCTGATCAAACTGTTTAAATCGCTTAATGGATTATTCTTCTTTGGATTTGATAGTTAGGCAGATCACACTAGCTACGAAACTGCCTTGATGTTCAATTAAGCAGCTGGAGCACACCCAACCACCACTTTCAATACAGTGTGATTCCTTGGGCAAAGTGAACATAATGTTTGCAATTAGCGTTTTTTCAACCACACAGTGGAATTTGAAAGAAGTATGCGATCTTTACGTTTTGGGCAAAATTCATGACGACGTGTTTTCGTAGTCTCGTAACCCGGCGATTTTTGTAGAGCGGAGTCTGAGACATGCACTATTTCATGGCACAGTTCTCAGTAAGTTTAACCTATAAAAGCAAGCGAGCAAGTTTTCTGACAGATACGCGGGAAGTGCAGGCAAAGTTACACCCTTTCGTAACTCAGTCATGGTTACCTCACCATATATCTGCAAAAAGGCCCTGTATTCCTCAAAGACCACGATTTTCGTAAGAGGGTGTCCGAAAACCTCTATAAGCGAAGTATTCTTACAAATTAAGACCATCAACATTTTGAGCAAAATCCATCGGCGAGCCGTAGTAAGACAGAAAAAAGTGAAATAATTCGAACATCTCGGAAAACTTGCTCATAGAGGTTATCCAACCTGCTAATTACGAAAATCGCAGCTGCTCAGTAAGGGAGCCTCATATTTTAGGGTTACGGTCATAGATGCGACAAGTGGAAAAACTCCTTTAACCCCCTTCACTTTAGGGCCGGCATCTGGCTGACCCCTTTCACTGGTTGGGACTAGAATAAAGGCGTAACGGTAGAATCAAACAGCTGTTACAATGACATTTTTTGTTTGGAAAGGAAACGCCAGCTGCTCTTCTTCTCAAACATCAAGATTGCAAGAGATTATGAATTAACAGCGTTTTGTTGAAAAAATGCCTGCTCGAGACCTTCTGCACTCAAAGTGGCGTTGCTAACGATACATAATCAAAATTAAAAGGATGTCTGATTCTTCAAATAATTAATATTGTATTACTGAATACACATTGTCTCAAGAAAGAGTTAAGCAAGAGTAGAAAATTTGGACTAACTAGTGATGGATGCATGTTTGCTGACAATAATCGTACTATGACTCCTTTCACTAAAGAGAATGACAAATAAAAGAACAATTAAATTACTCGTTTTTCAGGCTTTCGAATCATAGGCAAAAATTCGAGAAAGACCTTTTTGGTTTGAAAAGATAACTACCCAGAATGGTGCTTGTATCTCGCTACACAGAAGCTAGGAAAAAAAGAGACGATCTATTCGATCAATTCCTCATAATCTCAGCTTTCAAAAATACGAAGCAGTTAGAGCTTTTTTGCTTCCCGGCTCCAAAAAGCACTTGCTTCGGTGACCGATAAAAGCCAATACATTGGGGGAGCTGGGTGGAGCAAGCTAATAGTAAATATCTTCACCTCATTTTTAAAAATTGGCAAGTTTTATCGCCCAGCAATCTATGTACCATTCGAAAGCCCAGAAAAAGCGGATTCAAGATTGTAGACCATCGACTTCTTTCTAACCCCCCTCTACCGAGAGATACACTCCATTATATTTGAAATGGCTGTCGTGAACGGCATGCTGATTAACTCGACTAACGAAGTCTCAGCCAAAAGTCATTTCTTCCACCTTACCGTAAGGTTACCAAAGGAATTACCTCAACAAGCCCTACAAACCACTACCCATTACATTTTCTAGCGTTTCCTAACGTTTGAAAAGCATGACTGAACATGATTAACTTGGTCACAAAAGTGAAGTCGGCTTTTGTACACATAACAAAGTATTACTCATTATCAGTCTATGGTAGAAGATAGACTTCACGTTTCTAAATAATGGATTAAGAGGTGCTGCTAAAATATTAGTCACCGCGTTTTCTACCTCGCGTGCTTCAACTCAACCGATCACCACAGAGCCAAAACAAGTCGAGGTAATCAAACACCTATTGTAGAATCTTCGAGGCTTGTGCTAACGAAACTTATAAAACTAAAGTGGAAAAGCTTCTTCGGTGACAAAGTTAATCGGATCAGCAACCCCTCAAAAGATCAGGCTGCCTGAGCTTCTGAGGGGTTGCGCCTGACCTCCTTAATTGCCTTAAAATCCACAAATCGCTCCATTCCTAGCCTATGTATTGAGCATATACCTTCTTCTTGCTACATTGGAAATTTGGAGCCGAACGCCCCATCCCTAGAAAAGTTATGGCTCTTTCAATAGACCCATTCAAATCAAAATCAGCTGTCAAATTGCGTGTGATTGTAGAGTGCGGTCACAGAAAATCGAGCGTACAGCTTCAAAAATCTGAAAACTCTCTACAGTCTGCCCCAATCCCAACCAGGCCAAAATTGGCATGGTGGGAGTATGTTGCGAAGGTATTGCGTCACGTCTGCGGCTAGCTAGTCTGCTCTCTCCGCAATCTCTTCATTCTCTGCGACAGTGCGCGTATGAGCGCAAACCCCTAGCGCTGCGAGCGCTGACGCCGCTGAAGCCCTGAAACTCAGCTGACGGTTCGACCTGATCCCAGTTGGGGCAGACTGTAGAAGGGGGTGATGTCCTTAAGAATGTCACACTCTGAGATTCCGGAGGTCAAGAGGAGGAAGAAGGGGTCATTTGAGGACTTTCATCAGGGAGAGGGGGTCGTTTTCGAAAGACTTGTGCCTGAACTCTTGCCTAACTCTGTTTGTAGCTCACGCGGCAATCTATGCAATACCAAAATGTGACCGAGAATATAAGAAAAGCGAAAAGTTATGCAGTCTGTTGCAAGATTTAGTTAACAACCTAATATCAAGTAAATGAACTGCTGTAATAGTAAAATACAACACTGGGCTGAGAGACTTTACTGTTGTAGTTCAGTACAGTACCCTGGGTTTGCTTTCGCACTCACTTCTGGACCCCTTAACACTACAATTTATGTATTTCAATCTACGTCGCACGCGAAGGTGTGGCTTCGCAAGTCACACCAACGCGGGACCGTTGCCGGTTGATACAGCCTATATATTTCGCATTATGCGCACCTCCCCTTCCTTGCTGATGTTGACCTTCACTCTTCCCTAAGTACAGACACAGATGTTCCCCTTTGTCCTGCGAATAATATGCATTGATCTGTCACTGTGAAGTACCAGTTATGTTCAATCGATCTGATCACTCAAGCATCTGTACACAGATGAACGCACAAACAGATATCTATGTCATGAACCAAACCATAACATAACATGAAAGTAGAAGAAGTATTAGCTGTGGTTGACTATGGCTGTGTCCGCGCAAAGAGGTCAGGCACTTGCAAATGCAGTGCATATCGCACAGCTCAGGCTGCTACTTCATGTCCTTATGCCTGACGCATACTACAGCGATTTCGTTGAATCTCTACATCGACTTGATGATCCGCCAGAACCCTGCAGATTCATCGTGAGCTGCTTTTGAATCTATAGGCGTTTGCTCTCGCATATACTTCCACATTCACAGCATAACACTGTATAACATCTATAGCCTTTGTGGATAGCGAGAATGTACTAAGTTTTGCTTAGGCAAAGATCGCTTATAACAAAGAATGCGACGTCAAAGACCAAGTCACAAGAGGTATTATATCGTTGGCTCAGTTTCGTGTGGTCATACACTCTCCCCTCCTCTCTCGTCGCTAAGCTTGAATTTTGTGTACTTCGCGACAACTTGAAGCGAAAGAACATTTCTGAGTTTATTGACGTTTTTTTGCAGAGGTGTTTTTGATTCGTATTCATTCTTCAAGGGTCAGAAGTTGTTTTCGTTTGCAACAAACAACACTATTATGTCGGTGCGTACGTAAATATTGACGAGAATGGAAACAAATTATGAACATTGTTCAGGGTCAGCTAAATGGCAGCAGCAGTCTATTTCTGTGTCGAGAACTACCTTCACCATCGATTCAGGAAGGAGTAATTATAGAAAATAATCGAATTGCTGCCCCATTAAGTATTGGTGTAGGTAAATGACTGTTTCAAAGTTAACCCTTTAATCTATGCCTCTCACAAGGGAAGCTTGTTTGGTCGAAGTGGCCTTTCCAAATGAGATGTACACCATATTAAAGCGCATAAAACGCTGATTCCGAAACTGTCTTCCTTATCTGCAGAACGTTTATGGACGAGAAGTTATGAGCGTTTTTTGAAGCCAAAAATTGAATGTGCATTTTGAATAAAATGAGTTGTTAAAATCTAACTAGCCTTCAAATAATGTAACCAAGTGTGGTATGATTTTTATTTTAAAGCAATTTTCAAGTAAAGTGTTCTGGTGATTATCATTGCTCCGTTGAAGAGCTAGAAAAAGTATTACGGTTATTTTTGTCACACTTGCAAATTCAATTTTTGACTCCAAAAAACGCTCATAACTTCTCGTCCATAAACGTTCTGCAGATACGGAAGGCAGATATGTAATCAGCATTTTATGCTCTACAATATGGTGTACATCCCATCAAAAAAGGCCACTTCGACTAAACAAGCATTCCTTGTCAGACATCTGTTGATCAATCAAAGTCCAAGTTAACCAGTTCAATAGCTTCAGCATCAATTCGGGTACTTTCATGGAACATTTCAGGAACTTACTCTTTGTGGTTACCCAGATATACACTTTATCATTACGATTCATTCTTCATGCTTCCTATCCTCTGTATACAACAAACGTCTTGGTAAGATACTGTGTAGCAAGACCGTTCAGATGCGAACATTTGGTTGAGGGAAAACACACTGGTACGATCGCTATTGGCGCAGAAGTTGTTGCACTTTACTGGTAAAAGGATTGCATTTTATCCTATTGAAGTGAGCACAAGAAGTCCTTATGGTGATCTAAAACACTCTCGTTATAAGTGAGCACTGCAAATTCATTTGAATTGTCGGTGTACAACTCTCTTCTTACAGTACAACTAAGCTGGTCAATCTATCTGCTTTCCTTCGTTATTGGGAATGCTCCAGAAACCACTTACCAGATTGCATGTTGCTACTGATCAAAGAGCTTGTGTATGTTTCAAAGGTCTTGCCAAACTTGAGTTTTTTTTCAAGTGTTAGCAAATTCAGAAGTAAGCGTTATATAACCAAGGATTGGCTCGATCTAATCTCTGGTTGGATATCAGAACTCATTTCAAGCACGTAAGCTGCTTCTATACTGCTAAAAGCACTATGCCAAATCATACTTTGCCTCTAATCCGTCCAAACATCATGTTTTGAAAAATTGGAGAAATATGTAACTTGATGCATGCTGCAGATGTAGTTCCATTTACATTCCCATCTATGAACTTTATAGAATTGATCAATAAATAATAAGATAAGACACCTGTACTTGCAGGTACGAATTTCCTTCTATTGTCAAAGAAGATGTTGATTGCTTATACAAAGCTGACGAAAAATCTAGGAGACGGAAATGCAGGCGTGCTAACATATACTTCCCCAATTTCGCAGGTGGCAACATAGCTGCTATGGTATCATTTTACCGCGTAGGCGACGGAGAAAATCAATGACGGTTTGGTTTAAGAAGAATTTGCATAGATGGAAGAAAGAAGTCTTTGATGAACTCAGCGATTGGTGTTTTGGAGCAAACAGTAGTGGTAAGTCAGAACCGCATATATGGCAAAGGGATCGTTCAGACCGCGCCGGAATCCGTCCAAACCCGCGTAAACCCGCCCAAATACGTCCGAATCCGCCCGACCTGCCTGAACGCCGGAACTGCCAAAGCGCAGCGGATATGCGGCAAATTGGCATATTGGAGCACGCGAGGAATACTGCGCGCGTAGTGCATATATCTTAGTCACACGTAGCTCTACGTTACATACAGTCGATTTCATCCCGGATTAGGCGGAACATTCCACGAGGAAGGACGCGTGCCCACCGCTAGAGGCTTGGAGCGCATAGTGATGACATTTTGCCAAGCAAAGACTGAGGAGAATGAAGAGACGCAGACCTCGGTTCTCAGCGCGATAGGTTATACTGTAGCTGCGAAACAGCGCGAGCTGTTGCGAAGTGGACGACCGCCAGTCCAGCTTTCACCCAAAGCGGGTCGAAATTTACTGTACCTATCTTCTTTTACTATTAGTCCGATATTAGAAGGATCAATCGCACGCGTTCTCCAGTAGGCTAATTTGCATGCGACCTGCTGCGCTTTGGCAGTTAAGGCGGTTCGGACGTATTTGAGCGAGTTTGGGCGTTTGGATGTATTCGGGCGGGTTTGGGCGGGTTCCGGCGCGGTCTGAATGATCCCAAAAGATCATCTTGCTTTTCTATGTAAAATCACTGCTTATAATGGATCCATCTCAAACGACTATGAGGACGTCTTGAAAAATCGTCTACGTGATGTAAGTTCTTGAAAAAAACTAGACCAGTTTCTTTTACAAGGTCTCAATAATTGAAATAAGTTCTGTGCTTCTTACATAGCTATGGAATGACTTTGTTATTTTTCTCCTTTGCTGTGTATTCTATAGACAAGTTTTCTTGAAGAGCTTCCCAGTGATGCAAGTTACCCTTCATTTTCTCACATCTCCAATCCAGATGATATGAATCTCGCTACATTCGGGGAATTTCGCGACATTCCAGGAATTGCGAATCACGAGAACTATGCAAAATGCGCACGACCATAACTTCCTTCGGAATGTAAACATCCGGAAGCAGCGTGTTCAGCTATCAAGGCAAATCTTTCGATTTACAACATGTCCCTATATTCCGTTTCCAGTTTTCTCCAATTCTTCTGCGGAAGTCCTTTGGCAAGGTTGTGACGCAGCGTTTTTCAATGTAAAAGATTCCAGTAAGCAGTGCACACTGCCTCTACTAGACTCCAGCAAATACCGTTCGATAGCACTTCTTCTGTAGATTATAGAACGCAAAAAGGTAGCCGCAATCGTCTCTCCAAAGGAGATAGGAGGGTTGATTGTGGAAAAATTTTGTCATTCCAAATTCTGCTCGTCATAACTCTAGGGTACGAAGCTATCTTGCAATGTAGATATGTCCGTATTCAGGTCAGATAAACCCTGAGACAAGTTTTTAAAGAACTTCGAATTACTTGATTTTTTTCGTTTCAAGCTCTGAAGCTCGCCAGTGGGTTTTGGTCGGAATGTCAATAATTTTGGTTTGAATCAAACTCCGCTCATAGGGTTTTCGAACATGCTGTTTATGAAATCGTCGTATCTGTCAAGTACAGGGTCTTTTTGCAGCGATATGGTGAGGTAACTGTAAGAAGTCACGAAAGTTTCTAACTTCGCCTGCACTTGTCGCGTATCTGTTAGAGAACTTGCATACTTGCGTTTGAATGAAACTTACTAAGAGCTGTGCTGTCGAACGGTGCATGCCTCCGGCTCTAAGCTGTAACAAAAGACGTGCCTCCTTGCGTTAACATTCAAACGCAAGGAGGAAATTCTCTGACAGATTACGCGAGAGCTGCAGGCAAAGTTACAATTTTTCGTGACTCCGTTACAGTCACCTCACTATATCTCTACAAAAAGACCCTGTATTTGACATAAATCAAGATTTTCATAAACGGCGTGTTTGAGAAGCCCTATGAGCTTTTCCTTTCAAACCAAGATCATCAATATTTTGGCCAAAATTCATCGGCGCTTCACAGCGTAAAACGAGAAGAAACGAAATAACTCGAACATTTTGGAAAACCACTTGCCCGTAGAGGTTATCTATCCCGTTGATTACGAGAGTCACATCTGCTTGGCAAAAGTGCTTCTTTTTTAGTGTTATGTTGAGTGAAATTTATAACGACATGACTTTTCCAGAAATCACCAGTCCTTCCATTTTTTGGGAAGAAGTCTGCGGCTACTTTTTAGCTCTCCATAATCTACAGAAGAAGTAGGTACTATCGAACGATCCTTGCTGTAGGCTCCTAGGGGCAATGCGCGCTGCTTTACATCTTTGCGAAGAGGGGCCGCAGAAAAATTTAAGGATATTGGAACCGGAATAACAAGAAGTTTGCGTGATTCGCGTGATTCCGCGAGATCCCGGGAATGTCGCGGACTTCCGTAGAATTCCCGAAATTCCGCGACATTCACGGAAATTCTGCATATTCTGTGAACGGTATTGTAGTGGCATCCTAATTTTTGAATTGAAGTCGCTCCTCACACTTATGTTCAACCAGTAGCCTTTGCAAAGCAGAGGCTCGCTCTGGCGCTATGTATCTTCTATGTTTCTATTTCTTATATGATTGCATAATGCTGGCTTCAATACTTACCTCGAAGTGCTGACCATCACGAACGAGATGTGCACACTAATCATTTCTAAAGCGCTTTCATGTTAGGTCCGTGATTTGGGGAGGAAAAAGTTTCTGCCGGAAAACAAATACGATTAAAACAGTTACTGAATTTCCTTGGTTTGAAAGTCGTCATTAGGACAATAACCAAAGTCTACTATATCCAAGCAAAAATATCCTTAATTCCGTGAACCACTTACAAACTGGCCATCCGCAATCTACATTTTTGACGCCGTTTTCGCAAAAAAAATGAAAATTTTGATATATCTGGGGTTAAGATCTGTGGCTTGCAAATTTACTTGTTAAACAAATCCAGGACTATGCAAGAAGTCTAAATACCGACTCGGTATGGCAGATCAAAAGACGCGTGACCTTCACGCGCAATTTAAGACCCATGCATAGGGTCTAATCGTACTTTTGTGTTGGATGTACGTGCTGGAAGCTTGTGATGCGCAAAACTTGGGCCCCTTTCTTGGCTGCAAGTCGCTCTACGAATTTCGTGACAGACAACACACTCACAAAACGGTCTATGAAGGGCAAAGCATACATCGTGCAATTTTGTGGCCTCACAATTTTCCCAAAAAGAGAACTGTTACGAGTCCATTGCATGTCGATAGACTTGCATTTCAGTTGTGGTAGTTAACCTCGATTGGTCGTGTCGCAAAACTATCACAACCGAGATGCAAGATGATCGACATGCAATAAGTGGTAACAGTTGTTTTGCCTTAACAATTGCGAGGCTTTGAAATCGCGTGATGTATGCTCGGTCCTTGCTATTTTTTGAGCAGGAGACTTCGCTTGACTTCAAACTGTGAATATTTTCCCTATCTTCCTACTTTTGCCTGTGCGTAGACCATCTCAAAATTCTCAAAGTTCATTCGTACTGCTGCTTTGTTGTAAAGTGGCCAAAGTATTGCACTAGTCTTATTCGAAAAACACGATACTTCTTTGACATCTGTTTGCGATTCAACACTGATTTTGATTAAAAAAATACCTTGCTTTAAAATCCCTTTCCTTTTTTTTCTTCAGGTGCTAATAGTTGTCGACAACTACCAGCGAAAGAAAGGTATCGGCCTCTTGCAAAGATTGTATCAGCCGTATTTTGGCATGACTATCTTCTGTGGAAGCTACAATCAACTAGAATATAGTGATGGAGGTTTTGAATAAAATTTCGAAGCTTCGAAAAGTAGTAACAGGAAGCACGTGTTCTTAGGAGAGTACCCGGAATTAATGTTTCCATTCAATTATATACACGTGTCTCCTGAAGAAATTGTAAGAGGATACTTCTTTCACTATTGCCTTTCGAAAGTAAAGGAGTTGACTTTGAGAAATGTAAGAGGTGATTAATGCACATTTGGTGTGTAAGGCTTCGGGCAGAGTTCACGCGATTTCATCGCCGCGTTTCCTCCAAAAATATCAAGCAACTACGAGTCTATTGCATGCCGATCATGTTGCATTTCGGATTCAGCTCGCCCAATCGTGACTAACTATCACAAGCAATGCAAGGTGATCGGCATACAAAGGAAACGTAACAGTTTGTCTTGTTAGAAGATTTGCGGCGATAAAATCGCGTGAACTCTGCTTAAGGCCTGATGGTGAATAATGGTTCTGTACTTCAACGTACTACATTTCCTAGGGTACTTCCTCACTGGAGATGATGCCATCTTTAATTTTTGGCATAAACTTAATCACAGCGAAATCTTGTTTCCTTTTGAGTATGGCAATTATGGAAGTCGATGGTGGCGTTCAATCTATGGTTCGATTCTAAACGAATTGATATTGAGATTTGTTACCCAGTTCTTTTAGGAGGGATCGCCGCAAAGCGAGCATCACAAATCTTCGAACAAGTCTCTAGAACGAACACAAGGGTCAAAAAAATATTGGAATGTTATAAAAATGGGGTTCGTTTTGCCTTTCTCAAAACAGGCACCTACTTTGAGCTGTAGGTATATAGCTGCACCGATAAGTTTCAAAAACAAACCTCAAAAACTTTGAAATCAGCAATAATTAGAGGATGTATGTGCAGCCAATAGAAACATCCAGTAGAACGTATTTATTTCTATACATGTTCTTTTTCATCTGAAAACTTTTAGCTAGACTTTTGTATGGTAAACACTAAGAATAAAATTATTATTGGCTTGTCTGTCATGCAATGGATCTATAGCACTATCACCTGCATCTGCGTTTTCTCAATTTTTTTTCTATGCGCATTTCTCGATAATTCAGCTGACAAGAGAATGGTCAAAAGTCGAAGTGGCCAAACCAAGCAAGCCGCCTATCATTCAACGCTAATTTCATATCTGCTAGTCGCCTTTGTGGAGAAGTTATGAGCAGTTTTGTTGCGAAAAAATCTTACACGAAAGTTGCCGAATTGAGCACATCGTTGCACTTTCAACTCACCTTTAGGGTTCAAGATTATAAAGTAACCGGCTGAATGTTTAAGCTCATTATCAAGCCAAATGGCTCTGACTGCCAAATTCGTACTTTACATGCAAGCAAAATAACGGCCTTCAATAGCCCATAACTTCGCCCACATAGGAGCTAAGCAGATATGGAATACAGATTCGAAGTCAGCGTCAAATGCTGCATCTAACAATAAAGGTATGCATTTTTTTTTGGATTGGCCGCTTTGATTCCTGATCATTTCCTTGTGATAGCGAGTCTAGGTCTGAGAAAAAATCACATTGGAGGATCAATAAGATCTCATTAAATAGTTTTTTCCTTCTCTCTCTCTCTCTTTGACGAAGTCAGGTCTGAAGAAATACAATTTTTTTTAGTTAAACGAGAATGGGCGCGACCGAGACGCGCTAAAGCACATTGCTAGTGACACCGGCAATTCCGTGAGTGATTTGTGAGTCTTATTTAAATTTCGTGAAGCCACCTGATTGTCACAAACGTTTACGTTTAGTTTCTATGTTCCACAAAAGCGATTAGCTTACGTGACGGAACTTATAGAAGTATTCTTTGAAGCTGGATTATTTGTAGAACTCACTATACTGAAGATATTGCAAACTGTGCCACATAACAGGTAGTTTGTGCATATGAAATCAAAATGACGAGAATTGTGAAAAATATAGTAGTCCACATCGTCCTCTAAAGCTAAATGAAAACTCCTTTGTCTATATTAATTATCGTAACCGCCATCGTTGGTATGACTTCTACAACTCAAACATAATCATGATTCATCCAATCAAAATCAACCAATTTGTCGAGATGAAGCCTCGAAAGAGGTGAGTCTGCATTTTTTGCTTACTGTAAGCCCTGATAAGCTTCCCAAAGGTAGCCCACGCATCGAGCTTCTTTGAAAGGCGCTAGAGCACTTAGACTCGTTCATTAAAAAAAAAACTAATTCCACGGGTGTACGACATAGCCGTTTTTTTTTGAACTCGACGAGCCCGAACATTTTGGGAGCAAAGGGCCCCCTATCGTGCTGCATCTTACTCAAAAAATCGTGTGCTATAGCGATCATTCTGCGAGATTCAAAAATCAGGCCGTAGTGCTCGCGTTTAAGCGAGAAGTGCGTCTTGCATTGTGAAATTAGAGTACATGTAAGCGTTGTGTCACTCAAGTAAAGAAAAGCTCAGCAATCATGGCTCAATCCAGTTCGTGCTAATCTCTCACTTATCAAGAGCTTCTGCCACATGTGTACGATCAAAAGTAACATTCAATATTGTCCTTAAAATAGCGGACAGATGAGCAGGGCTTGTTCTAATACCTCACTTTCGAACTGTGCTGCATGAGGCCGGTGGCGTAAGGTCATGTAGCCAAGAGCTGTCGTCATTCCTTGCATAGAGTGCAGATAGTGCTACACGTAGCGACGCTAATCACTCTTTGGAATTTGCTGTTGAGCATTTACAATAGTAGGCACGTGCATTCTATTCGTCGTTGTCTTGAGTGATTTGATATTGAAAGCCGAATAACGGCGTCGGATATCCTTGGTTCCCAAAAATATGAAATCCCGAGTATCGTGTTGCATATATTTCCAAATAAGCGATTATCAGATAATATTAAATAACTGCTACTCAAGTGTTTGATCCAATTACTCAAGCCATTATTGGATACGCTCTAATAGGAGGATGGTCAGTCGAAGCGGCCTTACATGGATGTGTATTTTCTGGAGAGCATGAAGCAGTAAATCTGCTTTTTTCATCGCAGGATTCATTCTGGATGAGGATTTATGTTCAAAAACTGACTGTGCAATGATTGTTGAGGCAATCTATGCTATCAAAACTCTTGGTTCAGATACACTCACAACTACAGTCGAGTAGATTCTCCGCTCAATATAGTGTGCTCGCAGTGCAAATGAGATGCGGTAAAATTTGCTCGTGAACAACAGGTCACGTCAATAATGCGAGTATTTGACGCGCGCAATTGGCCGGCGTCATCGAAACTATTGTTCATGCGTAAATTTCACCGCCCGCATTTCACCTTCTGTGCAAGCACTCTATATTAAGCGGAAATCTACTCGGCTCTACCTGGCTCAATTGAGGAAACAGGAAACATATGAAGACTGTTTTCATTCTGATCGCGCATTCAACACTACGGTCTGGTAGATTTTCCGCTTAATATAATGTGCTTGCACAGAATGTGAAATGCGGTGAAATTTGCGCATGAACAAGTAGCCACGTCATATTGCCGGCATTTTGCGCCTGCAATTGGCCGGCGTCACAGTCGAAACTATTTGTTCAGGCGTAAATTACCGCCCGCATCTCACCTTCTGTGCAAGCACACTATGTTTAGCGGGAAATCTACTCGGCTTTATAAAAAAGCTCACTCTAGTAGCTCTGACAGCGCACGCCTCGAAGACGGTGAACACTCGGTTCTAATATGCCGCTGCGACTAGCCATCCTTTTCTCGTGAATGACGAGGGCAATAAACCAAGATTATCGGTGAAGTGATTCTATTGAAGTTTTGACTAATACACCTTTAAAACCACACAACAAAAGTTTTGTGGATGAGTTTGAAAAAACATGCGAAAATGTTTATATTGGTTACAGAATTCCTATATGTTGCAGAGCTTTTATCAAGGGGTAGATATTCCGTTTTTCTGGTATTCGCAGGTGTGATCTGCGTCGCGGACAGAACAACTTCTACAAACAATGCCACGGTTATAGCTGCAAGCGACCGTCCTGTTACATCTGTCTCCTCCCCTTCCCCTCACCCTCATCTATGATGCATCGACCCATCCATCAAACCATTCAGTGATCCATCCACCCTTCTCCCTAGATATGTACATACATGCATTTAGTTGACCATTTTCTCCGTGTTTCAGTGGCAATGGGATGAGCAATATGCAAGATCAAAGCTTTCATTAATATGGTAAGCTACAAGGTAGGAAAAAATAGGTAAGCGCGCGACAGGCTGATTTTCCTTTGACTGGTGAAGATTTGTTTTGTTAACGTTAATATGACTTTGTTCACGAGGTAGCTCATAGCATTGGATGTGGGAAAAATGGTACAATATGAATGTAGAAGCATACGAAGAGCAGATCCCTAATATCTCACATATCTTCCAAAGAGATGAAGAACACAGCAAAAAAGAGTTGATCGAAAAAAGAGAAAGTTCAGCAGAGATATTACATACAATCTGATTGTGAGTCCAATATCAAGACAATTCCAGGAAGTGTCCACCTTGTCGATCCACTGCCTTTAAGAAGAAAATTGCGCTCCATCTGAAAGACTCACGCCGCTGGCTCGACCTGAGTGGGAAATCGTTTGATTCGTAGACGGCAAAGGCGAAGTTGTTTTTAGGTGTCCATTTGCCGCCCCGTGCAGGGTTTGCCTTAGAGTCTGTATCGGACATGCTTTGCTTCATCAAGTCCGATACAGGCTTTCACATTCAGTGGCAGTAATTGTGATGCAATGTTCAGAAGAGAGAAAATATGAGAAGAATGGGACAGAAAGCTCTTCAATTCAAATGTTTCGAGAAGCGCGTTGTGTGACGATGTCTATGGGAAGCTGGGTAGGACACACGCTATACAACTGAATTAAGTACTTTCAGATTTTGCAAAACCGTGGTGAAAGCTTTTCGTGAAGCGCTTCAATGATATTTACTACACATTGCTAACATTCTCTTGAGATAATCTTTGATGTTTTGCTTTTAAGGCGCGCCTTTGTATCTAGCAGTGAAGAATAAAGTTAACAGCACCTGAGCAAAGACAGAGGACACAAGTGATACTTGGTGCGTAATGACGCTTGCTGTGTAGGAAATAGCCAGCAGGAACAAAATGCTCTGAATGTTCACGAAGAATGTGGAGATTATTTCGAGCACTTTTTCTGAAAATTCCTCGACAGTACTCGATGAACAATGGACTCGACGTACGTACGTATAATGGGCTTTCAGCAGTGGAGGACGAAGGGATGGGGGCGGGGGGGGGGGGGGAATGGGTCACGAATTTTTAAAAGTTACTTATATGGGTTGTAAAAATGCGGAAGTGACTTGTTTATTCTTGTAAACAATCAGAATCTTTTTAAAATATAAAACATAAACTTGTCACTGTGCTTTTCAAAGGCAGCAGAAAATTTGCGCTCAATAACAGACGTTATAACTGTAAGGGACCTGTCATACTTCGCCGAAAAAAGCCCAAAAAGCCCGAAAAAGGCGAAAAAAGCTCAAAAAAGCCCGAAAAAGCCGGAACACAGAAACGAAATTATGGCAGAATTCTGACGTTATTTTGATGTGCAGACGACAGAAAATAAAGCAGAAAGACCAGGTTGCGAAAATTAACACCACCCTTTAACGTCAAAACGGAACGGGCGTTCCGGTCTTTCGGGCGCTTTTGGGCTTTTTCGGGCTTTTTTGGGCTTTTTTAAGCTCTTTTATGTTTTTTTCGGCGAAGTATGACGGGCCCTAACTTTTCAAGAACTAGCCACCGAGGACGAAGCTTTTTGAAATGGCGTCTCAGTTTTGTGATTTTGAGTTAATGCCAAGAGATTGCAGAAGCCTTATAAATGGCCCCAGAGAATTTGTAGAACTTTGCATAGCGTTTGCTCACACTTAACTGTGTAGACTTTCACATGAAAACGCAAGATATTGTTCTGATTAGCAGATTTCACTATATTGCTGCACTTTGCAGCAAAATCACTATGTGACTCCTAAAAGTCGTTATAGTGCTCCATACGAACACTAGCTCACTTTTTGGACTTGAACTGCATTTCTGTTGAGAAACTGCACCAATAAGGGGCTTTTTATCGTGAAATGACATTTTTGACGAGTTTTTGTTTTGGCTTTTCGATGCGAGATTTAAACCTGTAGTTATGTATAGACTACTGCCATGCAGGAAATTTTTGAAATTTTTTAGGGCTAGCCAGAGGCGCTCTGCAGTTGTCTGGCACTCAAAATCGCAAATTTTGAGGCACCACTTTGAAAAATTTGTTTATAGTGAGTAGCTTACAAACTTTTACTCTTCCTGCATCACAGAAAGTAAGCTTTTCACCATGTTTAAGAAACGCAATGATACATTTAGGTTGAGTACTTAGAAAATTTCTAAATTTTGTTTGAATTACGCAGCAACTTTTGCGTCAATCCAATATGATCATTTGTTGACCCCGACGGTGAACCACCTTTCCTAAATCTATTTTTCGGTCAAAATCAATGAAAACATTCAAAATTTGTAACTGAAGCAGCACCAAGCATGTTTCTCATAATAACAAACGAGGTGTCGTAGTTACGAAATTGCGATGAACATAGAGCGAAAATTGGAATTTGAAGATCTTGGGATCTTCAAAAAATCTCAGCGTTTTGATAACTCATGTGTTCTTCTTAGAAACATTCATAGCGTGTTGGATAAAATAATCAGTATAACTACAAAATGATACCGTTGATTTTAAAGAACAAATGGCTCTGGAAGACGATTGGCCGGCGGTGATAGTCAAGGGATCATACAATAACCTGGAAAACGAGATTTGTACAACTTATCACTCCTGTTCAAGATGAATTTCTACTTAGTAAAGGGTAGGAGAAACACTTGATGGTTAAACCGCGCAAAATCAAAAACAAGCTTCAGGGTATGAGCTTCCTTTCAAGCTGCGTTCATCTCCCCACTGATTATGTAATGGTCCTTCCATTCGTGAAGTAAAGGCTTCTCTTCCTGAAAGGAGTAAATAAAAATATTCAAAGCTATTACGATTTCTGAAGTGATGCCTTCTTCCTCGAAAAGATCAAATATGAATGCATAAATGTTAACAAATTTGGTTGAAGACATCAAAGAATTTTGTCCTTTCTGGTAGGTGTAG